AAAAGACATTTCGCCACGTGTTTCAAATACCGCCCGACCGACCCATCTAAAAGCACTTGTCGTTTTGGTATGCCCCGTGAAATTTTGCATTCCTCTAAAGTCGACGATCTTGGTGTGATTCACTTGGCTCGAAACCACCCCTGGGTTAACCCGTGGAATCCCTCTATTGCCAGCTGTCTCCGCTCAAATCACGACATCTCTTGGATCCCGACCGTCTCAAAATCGTTGGCTCTAGTCTACTATATCACCAACTACGCCACTAAAGATGATGTGTCTCCATGGCAGATGATAGCAAAAGGAGCGCTCTTGAAGCAAGCAATTGAAAAAGCAAAAACGGCCGACTCACCAACCGCCACTGATCTGCGTCTTCGGGAAAGAGACATGGATAATTTCGCGCTCCGGTGCTTCAATAGTCTGGCGCACGACCGAGAAGTGAGTGGTGTTCAGGTCGCCAGTACCCTGCTCCATCTTCCGAGCTACTACACTGTCAGCTCAAAATTCGTCCGTGTCAATCTGTGGTGGCTAAGACATTACGTGCGCGATCTTCGACGTCAGACCGGTACAGACACTGATGGTTGCGCTGGAATTGCTGATGAGCCCTGTACGTTCCAAGCTAGGGATGCAGTTCCAGTGAGCCTGTTTGACAACTATAAATGGCGCGGGTTCGACCTTGCCGCTTTGTCATTCTTTGAGTACTGTATGCTAGTCCAGATAAGGACCAAGCAAAGAAATAGTCCTGGCTGCTTTGACTTTGACCCGTGTCACCCGAAAGGTAGCGACTGCGTCCAGCATGTCGCCTGTTCACAGTCCCAGATAGCCACCGTTACATTCAATGGGCAACTCACGCAACATCAAACAGCGGAAGACTCCATCCGTGGAGGACATCCAATGACCGATGCCATTGCGAATGATCTCGCGGAGATACTTCTCGGTCTATTTGTCCCCTAGGAGAAACTACGCGATATATTTCTTTGTGAACCTCATGAAACAGATCTCTTCTCGCGCGTCTGGTCCTCGGTCAAACCCACACTTGCGCCACACATCCAAGATTTTGCTGCTATTATCGAACTTCTTCGAAAGTCTAAAGACGACTGCCAGGTCGATGCGAGGTTACGGCAGTCTACAAACCACCACGCCGAGCTATTCGACCGCCATGTTGATCACATAGACTCGGCCGACCTCGATCCAGAAGATGCACAGGATGGCGGTAGTTTCATAACTCCTGAAGATGAAAGGTTCACAGCGGAGACTTTGATTGCCGCCTACCATACTGTAAGCAAGACCTGGGGCCGAGATTGTTTTATCGCCGCGAAGAGGGCACCCGTCCTAGCCACTGTCTGCCGAGCACACAGTTCTGCACAGATAAACCCGCTTCCTTCCAGTACTCATTCTCTCCAATCTGACCATGCCTTCGATTTAAAAATAATTTCACCCGCAGTCCTACAGGACTGGGAAACACACCTTGCTAGCCACAAAAGACCCTTTCAGGACTACGGCCCGTCTCAATCTGCTGCTGCGCAACTGCAAGACTTCGATCTAGCCGATGGAGATGGCGTGCTGCAACCTGTATTGACCAATGCAAGCTTGTCTGATGATACACAATCACGACCTGCGCTCATCGAAGATCCAACGCCAGACTCTCTCACAACGTTGGTCGGCCAAGATATCCCACTGAACACGAAGCAAGTACTTGTAGTGCGAAAGTTACTAACTGAAATCATGATGTGGGCGGACCGTCCATATGACTCATCACGGCGCAAGCAACTCCTCCTCTGCATTACAGGCGAAGGTGGCACGGGTAAAACTCAGATACCTAGAGCTATCGAAGCCGCTCTGGGTATTCTTGGTCGGAAACACGAGATTATTCTCACCGCCCCCACAGGCGCCGCAGCAGACAATTTAGGAGGCAACACCTATCATACTTCTCTTGGCATCAATCTTTCCTATAAAGCAGCCGTCAGCACTCGCGTTAGAAGACTGTGGGCACGAAAGACTATTTTGGTGATTGACGAAATGAGCATGGTAGATTTGAAAATGTTAAGCGTGATCAACGATCAATGCAAAGTCGCTCGGTCACTCCCTAGAACCTCTCCCGACCTCTTTGGCGGCATTCCCATTGTGATTCTTATGGGCGATTTCTTCCAGTTCCCTCCTGTTCGCGGTCCCCCATTATGGAAAAAACCAAGATATGGCAATGATGACGACGCCGCAGGTCGGCTGATTTGGCGTCGATTCGAAAGCGTTATCATTCTCAATGAGCAGATGAGACAATCCGAAGATCCTTCATTTCGTGACTTTTTGACGCGCACAAGAAACGCAGCATTAACCGAAGACGATGTCATCCGCCTGAATTCCAAATCCATTATCTCACTTACAGATTCCATCTCAGAAAATGCCGTTGTAATAGCCAAATTGAATGCCATCCGACATCCAATCAACCGAATCCGTATCGAGAGTTTTGCTCGGAGAAGGTCTCAGAGAATTTATGTTTTTGCCGCTATTCACTCCCGGACCAAATCAACTGGTTCCACGAACCTTCGACTCCAGGCTCATGACTTACTCCTCCAGCCAGATCACAGTGCCCAGATCCCATTCCCAGGCCTTCTCGCTTACACTAGAGATATGCCTATCGTAATGCTCACCAACGCCTGCACCCCTCTCGGTCAGGTTAATGGTGCCATGGGTACCGCAGTAGGCGTTGTTTTGGATCCAGCTGGAAAGTCTCCCGTCGGCATTCCAAAACTTAACTAACGTGCCTCTACAGCCGAAATCTTCGATCTAGATGATCTTTACACGCTCTGCACAAGGCCGCCTGCTTCCGTCATATTCAAACCAGATAGAACGCCAGCAACGCATTTTGATCAACTTCCAGCTTCCACCATGCCAATCTTCCCAATCGAACGTTCCATCACCGTGAAAGGCTTGTCCGTCAGAAGAAAGCAGGTCCCAATCTGCCCCGCTTTTTGCCTCACCGATTACAAAGTGCAAGGCTCAACTCTTTCTGCCGCAATCCTAGACCTAAAAAACGATACAGCTCGGCGAGGACAAGACTCTCATCGAAAGTACTGCTCCCTTTACGTTCAACTTTCCAGGCTACGATCTTTTCAAGGTCTCCATTTACTCCAAAAAATTACTGCAGATGATCTCCGCTTTTCTCCCGACCCCGACCTCATCGTGGAAATGGAAAGATTACGCGGTTTAGAAGCCAAAACACTTGCGGCTTGGGCTTTACCTGTCTGAATCGGCCTCTTTAGTTCTCATCTCTCATGTCTATACTGCCACGTCCTCCAGGTCTATTGCCACTAATGCCACGTCGTTTCAGGGCTTACAGCGTGCGGCAGCGCGCGTCCCCCAGTAAGAAACAAAGGGTGGCAAGTAACTTTATTTGATACACCCATAAGGGACATAAAACCGAAGGTTTATATGGTCCGATATGGAAAAGGGCAGAGTTTGTTGAAACCTTATCAGTTGAATCAGTTGAATGGTCGACACAACACCAATAACAACGCGAGGCGAGAATAAGTCTACGTTGAAAGGCGGTCATGGACTCAAGGATGTTGTGCCAACAACTTACACATGGTAACATGTCACAAGGACACGAAGAGTCTGATAAGTACTCATGCAGAAATTAGATAAACTCGTCACTACAAGTGAAGATTGCTAAGTGAAGGTAGCAGACTAAGAGTCCTTAATGGACGAAAAATTAGAGCAAGGGGCCGCTTTTACCTAGAAAAAATAGTACAGGAATCAAAATTGACAAGAGAGGGAGGCAGTTGAGGTGGGAGGAGCTCTGGCTGCACGGGTCTCAGCGCATACAGTATAAAGTTCCGCAAGACAGCAACCGAACCCGGTAGAGGTTATTCGACAACAGAGGAGCTGATTGGAACCAGAACCCCATAGACGAGAGTCGTTACCGGTATACTACTAAAGTTCCGGAAGAAACAGCCGAGCCCAATAGGAAATATTCGACAACAGAAGAACGGATTGGACACAGAACCGAATGAGTCGTTTTCGGTATAAGCCTTTCTCCAATGACAAAGTCTTCCACCAATAACACTGAAAGCTTTCCTCCAATAACACCGAAGCACACGAGCCAAACATCGCGATTTTGGACACATTTCGCCACAATTTTGTATGGGGTTTTGGCAGTCTGTCGAGTCACGAAAATATATGCTAGTACTGAGGGAACCAATTGAATGAGTTGATTGAAGAAGTAACTTCCCTTTTGAATACTACTACTACTGTATACAAGTTAGAGGTGGATCGAGCACACGCTGAATAATCATCTCCCAAACGGTGCTAGCGGTATTTGGCTGCCTCTCGGTTTGACAAGTCCTTTACTCGTAGCATTATACCATTTCAGCCTCTGAACAGGCCGTTAAATACTGTGCGCCATAACCATATCAGGATTGGCATATCATGTGACTAGGGTTTGAAAGACCGCCTCTCATATTTCCGACATGGAAGGCAGTAACGGACGACTCTGTATCACCAAACACTTTACCACAGCTCGCTAGACCGGAATTACATTTACCTTCTATTCGGTCCTAGCGCTTTAGGTTGTCGCTGATCACTCTTGCAAGTCCCACCGGACACGGGAATTAGGTTAATATTATTTCACCATCTAGTTCTTTAGTGACTCACCGGAATAGATGGATGACATAGTTATTTGACCTTTTCCCTTGGTGAAGCTCGTCCAGCTAGTTTAGTCTCCTACGAAAATCGGCCGATAAGGTAGGTCCTATGCTCTCTGAATTGCGACAAGATTTGTCCATCCGTGATTTAATGGTACTTTAAAATTGGAAGTTCGAACTGTCAGTTTTGGAAAACTGCTGCGATGTCTCTCGATGCTCTGCCCACCGTAGAGGAATTTCTCGTGCTTCCAAGGAAGTGATAGAGAAAATGAGGAAAATGAAAATGGAACGCAACAGTCCAGCTGGCTTCAAGAGGAAAGAAAAGGTAAAGTATGGATCAACAGATTATACAACAAGGTTAGCCTCTCATAAAATGTCCTCCGGAAATGTGGAAGCTCTAACCTCCGTTGGCTTCGCAGTGGTTTCCCCTCCCTTGTCATTCTTCCAGGACCCGGCATAATGGTGCTCGACCATATATGGACCGCGGTCCTTGGACCAGCCGCCCTGCTGCGCAGCAAACGCCGCATTCGGTAAGACCAGAACGTCGTGCGGGAGCACGGGCTCATGCAAGTTCGAGATATTCGGCCGTCCCACTGGCTGACGCATCTCGACGGATAGGCTTTCGAGGATCGCAAGAGTCATCGCTTGTGGGCCTGTCACGTCCACAAAATCGCTGATGGTTTGCATCGTGAGCCCGGCGATGGTCTTGTGGTACTCTCCAGCCGAGTCTTTTAGCGCCTTAGCGATGTAGCGGATCACCGCAGCGATGTGGCGGCTCTTCGGCTTTTCCATCACCGTCCAGCTGTGGAACTGCAATCCGTCGAACTCGAGGCCCACCACCAGGTTGGTCTTGTTGCGGTATTTCTCAGGAATCCAGGTGCCGATAGGTTGGTGGCAGGTCACGTGAGGTCGCTCCAGATGCCTCCGTCAGTGTAGAGGATCAATTGTCATAGAAAATCGGCTTTCAGCATGGGCATTTGCAGTGCTAGGTAGAGGTTGAGGAAATCGGGGATGTCGGCATATTGGTCACGCACGTATTGATCAGCACTGGCGCCTGTGAGGACCTCGTGGTGCAGAGCGGGGCTTCGGATTTGCCAGGACTCGATGTCTTTTTGGCGCGCTTCATCGATTCCATTAGGACCGGCTTTCTGCCAGAGTTTTGAGGGGAAGGGCGAATGGAGGAGTTGGTCGTATGGTTTCACGGGAATGTATGGCGAATGTGATGATGGAGATGCAGATTCTGGCGCTGGCAGGCCGAGTGTGATGGTTGGTGATTGGGAAGAAACGGATGCAGAGGCCGCGTCCTTTGATGAGGTTGGGGTGACGCTTCTGTCGGAACGCTGACATTCGCATGCGCCGTATGTGAGGGTTAATACCGGCGTCGAGGTCTTCAGACTTGATGATAACCAGAGAAGAGATGCCAGGGATGACAGCAGCAGAGTCAATAGATAGTAAGTCCAGCGAGCCATGGAGGCGACTTGCGCTCCCATCCTCTTTTGGCCGAGAGTGCTGGGAACGAAGGAATGAATGGCTGATGGGCGTTGGGACTTATTAAAAGGCATCCAAAAGCCCCTATAGGATGAGGGCCTGTTAGCTGAAGCAGATTGCGCTAGATATGAAAGAATAGCAGGAGCCACAGGCACGATACTTCTAGCTTGTCCGTTCAGGCTGGCGGGTGGGTGTGGAGGAATTTAGCTCATCGCCCAAATTTGCAAATTTGGGGAGAATTGATAAACATAGCATGTGCTCGTTTTGATGCGTGGTTCGTGGCTTGCTGATATTCCACCGGGCTCACGCGCATGCTTTAACCAAGAGACCTCTGTTGATTACCGCTAGGTTTCCTCGGTATTTCAAAAAGTTCACATTGACCGTGTCATCGAAAGGCAGAACGACCGATGGCGCGAAAAGAACCTTTACTCAAGCACCGTCCTTTGACTCCCCGGCAGTCTCCAACCACCCTGCGACACGAAGGGGGTTCATCGCCTTATCCTTAAGGAGATGAGAATTCGAGGAAGCTAAGACACACAGAGTATGGTATATCAGTAGTACACGGGTAGAACTTGAACTGGCTGGATTTTGAGTGCGCTATGAGAGATTTTAGAAGGATAAATTTAGCCGAGCTGAAGTCTTCGTTGAACAGAAAGCCTGTGCCTAGGGTAGAGATCGATACGCGCCGCTGTATTTGTCGAGCCGAGGGGAAGTTTGATCGATGCAGGATCTACGAAGTATGGTGGAGGAGTTTGTCATGGTGGCCGGCTATGCATCCTCCGGTCCCTATTTCCATCCGACCAGACTCATTACAGGAGACCCATTGCTATGAGAACACGGTCCGACTTTAACCAATCATTTTCTGAAGAACCAGTACAGTATATACCCAATACGATGTGGCTGATTTCACCCCGCATTGTAAAATTTTTGGGCAAGAACTGCCGACTTAGTATTGCTTTCGCTGCAACTAATTCGCCATCCCTCGGGACTGAACCTGCTGAGCGCAACGCAAAAAGAAGGCCAACTGGTTATTCTACCTGTTGTTACGCTGCTGAGTGTCCAACAACCGGGATCCCTGATCTTCAGCCCGGACTCAGCTAGCCACATCGGAGCTGATATCTAGGCCTAGATCTGAGACTCAGCGCTCTCACGCCGCTGAAGAATGGCTATATAAGCTCCGTATACTCCATACCACCACCTACAAAGAACCATCTATCCTTACTCCTAAGCAAAGGTAATCTTAATGGCCGAAATCTACTACCAAGACACAATCCGCTTCAAGACCACGGTGAACGGCGCAAACAAATACATCACCCTGGCCGTTGTCGCCCCTACCGCAACCTGCTGGCTCACCCTTACGGACGAACCAACCAAGGACAGCAACTTCCTTATCCGCGAATGGAACTACGATAATACCGGCCGCCTTCACTTCAGCGGCAACGACCGCGCCGACACCCCAGACTCCCACGGGAACTTCCGCATGCTGCACAAGGACACCCGCCCCCCAGAGCAAAACGTGGGGGACGACCACTGCGTCTCTATGGCGCCGTATGAACCTATGGTGAATATGGGGTACTGGGGTGTTCCCTGGGCCACGGCGTATGACCTCGAGACGTTTGCGCTATTCGCGACGCGGTGGCCGAGTTCTGATGGCGGAGTGTGTAGTGGGGATCCTGTGAAGATTAGGAGTTTGATTGGCGCGAAGGAGCCGCCGCCTGTGGGGAGTATTGGGCAGTTTTTGACGATTAGTTGGATTGATGGGCAGTGGAGGATTATGGGCAATGGGGATCACGCCACTTATAACGCTGGGACGGAGTTTGTTATTGAGAAGGTTGGGTAGGAATTTTATGGGGCTATACCTACGGCAGCCCTGAACGGAATTTGAGCTAGAGCCGGGTTCATCACTCCTCAGCTCACCTATAGTTTATCCAGTTATGATCACTTGATAATACCTTCTCTTCTTACTTTCTTTTCTTCCTTTCTCGGCTGAAATCGGATCAGAGCGCCGAGCTCAGGAGAGCACATGTGTAGATACCCGAACTCCAAGTTCTTATATCGCACCTGTCCATTCGACAAGGCGCAGGTCGGTATACACTGCTGTGCATAATCGATGACTAAGGCACTGCCGGGATCGCTAACTGTCAGAGCAAGCTGATACAGTACGTCATTGTATGCAAGAATGGGGCTAATCTACCAAGGGGAACCAATCCAAAAAGATGAGATGAATTAATTGGTTAGTTGATTGAAAAAAAGAAAAGAGCGGAAGATGCGAGGACACGTTAGGGTGTCCTTGCTTACTTGAGTAGGGAAAGGGGGTTGAAAGTCCCGATTCTGGGAGTGTCGAGAATCCCTAGAACAAACATAGAAATCACGACACGAATGGAACTAAACCATTCCGGGTGTATTTTACTACCCCACTTTCCTCGACATATAATTACAGGAAATACTCTGACTTTGAGCACGTTCACAGCTGCCTTCACTCTCTTGGCAGCAATGCTAGCCAGAATGATAAGGGTAAGCTCTTTCGCGTAACCTGCACAAATTCCTTTTATGATCGGAACATTATCTTATCAAGTCACACTATGAAGCAGGGCCCTCTGGGAGGGAAAGATATTATAAAGTTATCTTGCTCATCTAGGTATCATATTCAACATATCTGTTTCCCAGTCCAGCAAAGTTTCAGAATGGGACAAGGTGTGGTGATGAATGGGTCCCAGTATTTGCTTCTGCTTGGATAGACAATTTCGTAGTAAACCTACGGTTTGGGTATTATGACCTGAAGCCTTTCAGGTGAAAGCGAGGTTTGCCATACTGGTCAGCGTGTCGGGATGGTCCACGCCGAGCTTTGTCTTGCTCCTCTCCATCACCAGCACCTGGAGCTGCTCCGCCTCCTGCCATTGGTCCTGGTCTATATACGTTGATGCTAGGTTGTCCATACTCGTCAGCGTGGAGGGATGGTCCACGCCAAGCTTCGTCTTGCTCGTCTCCGTCACCAGCACCTGGAGTTGCTCCGCTTCCTCCCATCGTCCCTGGTTCCAAAACGTCGATGCTAAGTTCGCTATACTCGTCAGCGTGTCAGGATGGTCCACGCCGAGCGTCGTCTTGCTCGTCTCCATCACTAGCACCTGGAGCTGCTCTGGCTCCTCCCATCGTCCCTCTAGTGAGTATGCTCTTGCCAACATTGCAGTACTCATAAGTGCTTCTTCATTCTCAGCACCTAGTAACTTCACTCTCCGCTTTTTTGATTTCGATGCCATACCCCTCGCATATGCGATATGCCCGCTTTCTGTTGCATACCACCCTCCTCGATATAGTAGACTGGCCCATTGTACTTGAGACCCTTGTGATTCTGGCCGTTGAGCCATCGCTGACCGAACGTGAGGGAAGAGCAGGCGGCATTTCCCCCAATTTTCATATTCACCCGTAGGAAAATTTTCGTCTAAAGTCCTGATAAATCTTTCCCTCCATCGGTCTGTTTCTCCATGAGACTTCAGCCATGTGCGCATAGTCAGTTGCACGAGCCGGTGCATAGCGTGATTAAAGTTACGGAAGACAACAGCCGAAGCCGATTGGAAGTGTTTGAACCATAGTAGCGTAAACAATGGAATGAGTGAAACTATAAAGCTACGTAACTACAACCAATATTCTGACAGTGCTCGGAGTGTGCTGTCGCAGTTTAGTGAAGCAAGGCGTGGGAATAAGCTATAAAATAGAAAAGAGCCAAGCACTGAATGCAAACGTGGATAGTAGACTAGACGAAGCACAAGAGGCATAAAAGCCCGGATAAAAGCGCGGAGAAGCGAAGGCTAAGCCCAATGAGGACTCCACAAATCACCGAGGCAAAGCGTGAAAGTAAATAGCAGTATTTTAGTCCAATGAGAGAACTATGTAACCGAGGACGAGCCAGTCATGGATGGGAACGTACAGAGAAGTGCAGAATGAAGCCCTAGAACCCTAATGGCTGGAATGGCTAAGATGGATGGAGAAATAGATAGTGGCAGGAGCCAACAAGAACGCGTCTTGGCGGCCGAAATCGACGAATCGAACGGCGAGAATTGGCAAGAATTTGCAGTACGAACGCAAGTCAAACTTTGCGGGCAGCTCGCGCAGGGTAGTAACCCCTTCACTCGTTCCTCGTTTCAGGGCACAGTTAAGCCACCTCTTTTTGCAACGTCTCGCGCACAGGTACATCCCGTGTTTAAATCCCTTTCTCTCACTTCGTTCGTTTCAGGGCAATCCATTCCTAAGAATAGAACTTTTTAATTCCAGGACAACTGCTTAACGTATAATAGCGTATCTTACACGAAACTCCTACCCCGCTGCCCCTCCATACGTGACATCCTTCCTTCTCAGCATCGCCATCTGAGAAGTGCTAGAATTTCTGCGCAATATGGCACCGAGACTACCACTGTCAAAGCTACATCTCATCAGTGATATGATACAAAGCCAGTCGCTTACCCGTTCTCAAATGGTCGAGGCAGCAGAATGTAGCGAACAGACGATCAAAAACATCCGCAGGAACTTGCGACTGTTTGGACACGTTTATGCCCCCCAACTCGTATCGGCCGGAGAAGAAGCATAACACCACCGATGCTAGAGGCGCTCTGTGATCATCTGCTGGAAAAACCAGGTTTGTATCTAGAGGAAATGGCTATCTTTCTATGGGATGAATTTCAGATACTAGCAACCACCTCTAGTATTAGGAGGGCCCTTGTATCCCAAGGCTGGTCTAAAAAGACCGCCCGACAGAGTGCTAAAGAGCAGAGTGCCGAATTACGAGAAATCTATCTTCATAATCTCTCGGATTTTGAGTCGTACCACCTTGTTTATGTTGATGAATCTGGATGTGATAAACGAGTTGGTTTCCGACGGACAGGCTGGTCACCACTCGGTGTAGCACCTCGACAAGTGTCACAGTTTCACCGTGACGAACGTTATCAAATATTGCCTGCATATGCCCAAGATGGTATTCTACTTACTCGCGTCGTTCGGGGGTCAACGGATGCCACTGTGTTCGAAGATTTCATCGATGAGCTTCTTCGTCATTGCGGAAGATGGCCGGAGCCAAAGTCTGTTCTGGTCATGGACAATGCATCGTTTCACCACTCTAAGCGGATTTCGCAGATGTGTGCTGATGCTGGAGTCAAACTTGTTTATTTGCCTCCGTACTCGCCGGACCTAAATCCAATTGAGGAGTTTTTTGCTGAACTCAAAGGCTTCATAAGACGCAATTGGTGCTACTATGCAGAGGATCCCGACCGCGAATTTGGGTCCTTTCTGGAAACCTGTACAGTATCAACCAAGTCGGCCAACGACAAGACAGTGCCAGAGGCCACTTTCGGCACGCAGGCCTGACTGCTAATCATTAAGGCACTAGAACCTATTTCGAACAAGATTCATAAGAAATTGAAGGGGCAGAAAAAGGTCCAGAGGGGTGGCCATGGCATGTTCTTTCGTTATGTCCTCTTTTTTTGGCACTCAGGAAACACTCACCTGTCAAATACCGCCTTTTAGAGCAAGGTGCTTGTCGAGTAACGCATAACCAATTGATTCCTGTCGCTTCTAGCGAAGGGCCTCATGCATAACAAGTGGTCGAAGGCGCCCTCTGTTTTACATGGACCACAACTTTGACTGTTCATTTTCATCAAACGGAAAGGTGTAGGGCTTTAACCCTCAAGAGGTTGTTCTCTAGTCCTTTTGGCTTAGTTGCTGGTTATGCTGCAAGTATGACCATCTGTAATCTGGCTTTGTCGTTGCAAACAAGGGATTGGAACCAACACCTAGAGCCCTTGGTGAGATCGGTGCTAATATGTGATATTATATACATGTTACGGTGGTATTCGAAATCAGTTTTGCCATCAATCTCTCTATTTATTTCTTAGACCCGCCTAAAGAGCACTAATGGATACCTTTCTGCAGGCCTTGCTTTTCGGATTGTATCCGGGAAACGGTACTACTCTGTATATGGATAAGTCTTAAGTAATGATATTCTAAGGATAGATCGCTTTAAAATCTCTCGGTCATCACTTTTCACGGGCGGGGCGAACACGAACCTCCCTGGAGTAGCGAACTTCTCCCTCGCCTTTCACCCACGCGATAAATTAGTACCGACGTTTTCTGTAGCCCGCCTCCCACCATTGACATCTCAACTCGTGAATAACGGCGTGGGCCCATGGTCGATACTCTTTGCGATGTGGGGTGATCCATTTTCCAGCCAAGTGGACATGGACCCTTAAGGGAGGACGGCCGAGTTCTATTACAGTATCGCTACGATAAAATGCTCCGTGGAATAGGTAGTCAATCTGAACCTTGACGAAGTGAACCAAAATAGTCCGATATTGACAAAATCCTGGCGCCAGAACGAACTAATATTTTGTAGACTTTGCCAAGACTGTTTTTGTATGGTTACTGTAGTGGTTGACAGTCTGCAGGATACCCCCTCGTTCGTCTTTCAGTATCTTGAGGAGCTGTTCATGCGCTTGATCGTATGTCTCCTGTTCCCGAGAAGATACAATTCCCCAGAGCTTCTCTCTCACATCCTCGTCAGGCAGAATTTCTGCAAAAATTGTTTCATTGTAAGAGTGAACCGCGGAGGAAATCTCAAGGTATTTGACCGCTATTTCCTCCCATGGGCTGGACTGCTGGCGGAACATATTCTGCAACACAATGGGGTTCACTGTTCCTGGTAGCTCAGAGCCTCGGGAGTCAAGGTAGTAACGCCTTATCCAGTCGTATATGTTGTCTAAGTCATCTGCTGGCCTGCGGAACTCTGGATCGTTTTCATCTCGAATCGTACGGAACACTTTGGCATGCCCGTTCGTTGCCATAGACTTGGCAGAATCATCCGCATACTGCCGTAAATGCATCCGAAGCTTGAGTATGCTTAATGCCTCCAGATCAGCGCTATAGTTTCTATTTAAGGCCTTGTCAACCTCCTTCTGATAAGTGGATGAGATACGTGTCAAGAACCGTCTCTGTTCTGCAGGGGTCTGACGGGAGGGACCAAGAATCTCCAATTCCTTTTGAGTTTCCAGAGAAAGTCGTTCAATATCCGCTACAACGGCCGGAAATTCAGAACGGATGTGGTCGTACAAAAGATGACCTAGGAAGGACTTCAATGCATTGATACTGACTCGGTCTCTTTTGAGCTCAGTCCAAGGCGGAATTGTTGAGAAGAACTGTTTCTCTCTTTGGTGTCGGCCCTCGATGGTGACACCCCCATTGATCTCCTGTGTAGAGCGATTTCTAACAGCAAACCACCCGTTGCAATAGACTTGGACTTATGGGGGATGCCTAGGTGTTAGGAAATACGTGTGACTTGGGGTGGAGTCTGCAGTCTGGCCAATCACATTCAATACTGTAAACACCCTACTTCTTTCACTTTCTGACAAGAAAATAATTGAATCTGTTTACACGTTCATTACTTTGGCCTCAGATTTACAGTATGAGACAACCGGTTGTTCACCGGTTGCAAGTTTGCTTGCCCGTTGGCCCTCATGTTTATCCTTCCAACGGTGTCTTTGCACCACTATGTCCGCCCTATTAAGAGCGATGATAGTAGCTCCCTGGCTACTCAACAAAACTTAGATTAATCAGGTTAGCAGCTAACTGGGTTTGAACCAGAACAAGACAGGCAAACGCATTTGAGTGCGGCGGCGTAGAAGAATTGAGAGGCCGCTCATTTTCGATTGCTTTCGAGACGGTTCAACGTGTTTAAGCACTTGTCATAGTAGAGTGAGGAAACGGGTGCCCTTCAAAAATGTCATAGCGGAAATCGGGTGGGTTGGTGGATCCTAAACATGTGTTGACCATTGCACCCTCGATAAACGTTGAGTAAATAGGAAGTTAAAAGTTGTTGATGGCAGTTAGTTCTCACGGTCCTTATCCCTTATGCGCAAGTAAAGGAAGCTCTTGGTGAGTGTTTTACTCTTTATCATATTTTTAATTTTGTCTAATGTATTTAATTAATCACCACCTTCGCAGAAAAGAGAGGATGGTGTTTAATAAATTTAATTGGCTTATTTGTCTCCACTTGTTTTGATGTCTGTGCATCCCCTGATACTTTGCCACCCCCAAGTCTACCAGCAAAAATTTTCTCACCCCGCTCCTAGTTACGAGTTGCACCTCTCTTTGCCTTAGTTTCCTGGCAACCAATATTCAGCAGTAAAGGACCTGCCAAGGCTCAAGAATCCCTCGAGAGCCCGGTTCTATAGTTGCTCGGCGCATCTTTGTGCGCACCAAGTACTGCTGCGCTTTTCGCTTTTCATCGCATAAAAAATCAAGTCTCTTTTGATGCGTATTTCATGTGTTCCTGTGTTTTTTTATTCTTTCCTTGCCTTACCAGTTTGCAGTTTGGGACTAGCGTCACTGAAGCTAGACTAACCGAATTGAGAATATATACAAAACCATGCAATAGAAAGAAAGAGTTGACGATCAAATATAGCAAGCAAAGGTCTGCTCGTAGAGCCGCAATGTTGATTAATGTAGGATTTGGCAAATTTAGTATCTTCAACAATGATAATAGTAGAATGAACGAAATATCATAGACCAGCCGATGAGTGGTGAAAACATGTTTAAATTTTACCAGTTTGGGACTAGCGTCGCTCTAAACTACGGAGATAAAGACGCTAACCAAATTTTTGGGGGGGGAGGAGGGGTAAGATAGCTAAATTGCTCGCAGATTCACAACGGTGATGAAGAAAAAAACGCTACGGTTATTTAGGAGCTGGCCGAATTTTCATTTTCAACGACGCTTTCAAAGATACTTTCGACGATATCAAGTAAATAAACACATAGTCGTCGACGGGCGGTGCAAGACCTATATTGGTGGAAAGCATGAGGGCAACGACCAGGCAAACTTGCAGCCGGCGATAAAATAATTTGTCGTCGAAATGCGAGTACATAAAGAATGTTTTCAAGGAAAAATAAAAAGGATCAATTCATTCATATTCTGTTTTAACACAATGCTTAACCCGGACTTGGATCCCGAGTAGACAATTACAACACATAAGGTAGCCCCGGAGATTGGAGGATAGCAGAAGACTAGAGACCATCAAGATAGGTTCCTCCCACAAACATCCCTCTCAGAATTTCGGCTGATGTTTCAAAACGATTACCTTGCCTCTCCCTCGTTTCATCAAAGTATCCTGTCCTGTTGTAGAATCTCTGTCTGATGTTTTTATAATAATTCTCCGGGTCTGCAACAATCTTCACGACTCTCCAATTTTCCCCTTGCCAATCTATTTCGTTTGCTCTCTTCCATATCTTTTTGGTGTTCACATGGAACTGGTGATCCACATCGATCCGGATTTCCCAGCGAACTTCCATGCGGTTTTGGGGGTTTTGGCCTTCGAACACTGTACCCGCGAGGCCTACAACGAAGAGGTTTCGCTCATTTTCGGGTAATCTATTGGGTAGCGCTCTGATCGTGGATTCCTTGACGGTGTGTACCCCGACGAATGTCAGAATGGCCCATGTGAGAGGCTCCTCTTCGGTTCGCGGCTGTTCAGGTGGGTCCATCGTGGCTTGCTTTTAGATGCTGCATTTATACAAAGTTGAGATGAGCCTTTGTAGACTGAAACATGAATTATTGGTGGAATATACCTAATCTGGAAAGTAGGAAAGATGGTATGATTCGATGGTTGGTGGATAGAAGAAAAGAAAAAGATTGATACGGCTACAGAGTAGTAGCTTTCTTTATAGAGGGGAAATTGGGGATCATACCGTAGGCAGGGTTCAGCTGTCCACTTCCTTAGATGTGTGTCTCAGGCCCCGTCTCGAGTGATCATTTTGAAAGATCTTCTGTGATGACCCCATCACATTTGGCGACGTCACATTTGGCCCCACCACATGGCGTTCCAGTGGCGAAAGCAAGCGCTCAGCTGGTTTTGTAGTTTTGTACTCTCCCATCATCCCGCAGCCATACGGAGCACAACTACTGAACATGACCATGGCTGCATGAAATCTATCAAAGCACAGCATATCCTGGTCAATGCTCCTTACCGCTTCTCTTGCACTGCTGGGACGGAACGGGTCTACCCTGCCTATGCATGCATGACAAAAATCGCGCACGCAGGGCGCACGTCAAGCCGACACAAACGCAAGATTGGGCGACGCAGCCTGGCATTGATTTTTTCTCTGTCGATGATAGTGAACTTTGCCTAGACACCTGATTACCCGCGTTTGGCCGGAAATTATGCAACCAGCTACAACCATGACAGAGCATATTTTTGCTTGGGATACATACTCTAGTCATAGAATTCAAAGTGGCTGAGCCTCATGCTGTTAACTACTTTGATAAATCGCTTTTGCTGGGATGATAGTCCACAAATCAATGATATACCAATCCGAAGACGTCTTAATCTGCTTCCTATCCTCATTGAATCCTAGCCCTTTGTCAAATCGATAGCTGCGGATACTGTCCAAAGGTGAGCCATTAGTAACGAGCCAGATAATGGGAGAAAGGAGCCGTTGGTAGACGTACCTGTAACTCGTAGGCTTTTTTTTCATCATGCTTTATCATAAAATTGGCATCGATAAACTCATCTTGTTCCTTGGTAAAGCGAACCTCGTTGAAATCTTCTGAGCCCTATTGTTAGAATAACGCAACCCAAGAGTGATAACATGGAATTCCCGCTGTTTTTGTATACAGACAAAAAGTCTCCAGTTTGCACATTTCTGATACTGTGTCCCCCCTCGGCGAATTTTGAAGGTTATATACCCCACAGGCAATTTTCTGAGGGCGTCGAATTATACATTTATTACATCAGTATGAGCTCGTTTATATATCATGGGGTTCCCAACCTCTCAGGATCTTGACTTATGAAAAGCTCGCCTATTTTGAGATAGTAGAGCTTCCATCTGTTTCATCATTTAGTATGTATACCATTGAGTTTTGGATTTCCTCTCCACCTTGGTGACTCATGGAGATGTCTTGAACTCTTCAACATCGTGCTCCAATTTGTTTTGTTGTCCTTGAAGCTTGGTTAGATCTTGCGTGGTGGGACTCTTCTTGAGTTCTTCATTCATGGCGTTTAATTGTGTCTGCAGGTTATTCAGGGTTTTTGTAGTGCTGGAACTGTCTTGAGGCTTGGTTTTAACCTCTGTGAGCAGTTTTTGTAGCTCATCTAACCTTCCTGAGATGTTTTATCTTTGAGATCTAAGCCTTTCATGGTGCTTAGCGGAGCCCTTCTCACATTGGTAGTCTCTGATCATTCTCCTGGGATTCCCTTTCCAGGCACGATGCATGGTGACGAGTACTGCTGCAGTTGAATGATTTGGAATTAGTTCGTAGTTAACTGGAGTTGATTGGATCCAATTTCCTCTCTTGTCGATTCACTCCTGTGACTTAGCGTCTCCACTTTGCTACAGGCCCCGCGGCACAGGACTCTAGCAGGGATCAAATATGGAGCGACGAGAGCCAACCAGTAGTCTAAAGATGGAACAGCACAATCAAGGTAACCCCGATCACCCACCTCAAAATATTAAATTCGACCTAAATCTAGAGCGTGAACTAGACAGGCATAACGCATAAGCAATTTTGAGATTTGACGACGGTCAGAAAAACCCTATCATTTGACGATAGTCGGAAAAGAATCTAGGCCAACAGCCTGTGTCATGAAGTGGCAGGAAGAGATACTGTAAATACTATGCCGATCGATTGAAAGTTCGTTCGTGCCACGTATTAGCGGGATGATATCTGACGGACTACTGTACAGTAGTTCATGGGAGATCCCTCTGGACACTGGAGATGCATTGAGTCCACAGTTTTCAGCCAGCCATCGTCGACCCACAGAGCTCCACTTGCAATTTTGGTGACTTCCTCGCAGTATCTTCAATACCATTACCAGTACATAGTGTGTCTCTTTGCTCTGAGCCATCCCCTCTCTTAGAACTTCCAGTCCAAGTATAGATAGTCACAGCTCATCTCCCTACAGGAGCATGTGCATCAAGAAAATACTGCACTTGGACCCACGATTGTCCATTTCTCCAGAAGACCGATCATCCGTTAGGCAACCATTACATCAAGAAAATACCGCATTGCAACACAGATTGACCCACTTCTTTACATCGTCCGCAAGACCTCGTTGTATTGTATGGTTTTTTAACGCCCAGAGAATGAGTGGCGGAGCCATAGTGACCATGACCCTAATCTACCTCTCAATCTACAGCCCCCCAACAGGGCGCGCCAAGCTCATAGTATTTACTGTACATGACAACATAAGTGCGCGAGTTCAAGCCCGAGGGCAACGCCAGGGGCGGTATTAAGTACGTTGGCCCCGACATGCAAGCTATTCGCACAGGACTTTATCTGGCATGGTTTATCTATAGCTTTTTCCGATTCAAGTCCGTAAAAGACGGAGCGAAATAGAGAGCCCACGGAGGGAAGGTAACCCATTTAAGAAATAACCAAATTGTTGTGTGGAAGATTGACTACGTTCATTCACCGAGATTCGTGATTTCATTCATACGGACGACAAATTTACAGAATAGGAGGCAGAAACAGCTAGTTATTCAAAGGGCTATGATCATCCTCAGCGCGTATATGTGCATAGAATCACGGGCAGTAATCTGTATGGGCTCAGATCTTTGGCTTGACGGGACAGATCTGAGAATAGATCAATGAAGAAATCAGGACCTGTTCCCCTCAACGTAGTAGTCATTATGGCTCGGTAGATGACATCGCAACCAGTAAGAGTGTCAAATAAATGAGATGGTGCCGAGTAAACGAAATTATTATAATATGAGAAAATGCGGTTCAATTTGTAATCATTCTGTCTCTGCAATCAGATCTCCCCTCGTTTGCCCTGCTGACCGAGATTGACAAGTTAATGTATGCTGATCTATTCGGGATCGCAATCAATCTCATTGTTGTCAAGGAACTTCTTCATGTCATCTCTCATTCTTTCATCGACCAACGCCCCCGCTACCTTCCAATTCTTTTGATTGAATTCGGCCTCGTAGTCGCTGTATTTGATTTCGCATGAAATAGAGCTCTCTTTCTTTTTGGCATTGTTGATAACCTTCGTTTCGTTGTTCGTAGCAAAGTGAATGAGGCGAATGTCTGCCTATGGATTAGTGAATAGCTCTGTTTGTCAGTACTATATGAACATACATGATTTAATGGCATCCGCTTGGGGGATATATTCAAATCTCTCACAGACAACCAGTTTGTCGGATTTGTCTACTGCACTTTGCTCCATCGACTTGGATAGAGAATCCAGAATCCCTTCCAGACTTTTGAGAGCGCTCAGTGGCACATCGACAAATCCGGCAAGAACACTTTTAATGATCTCGGTATGGAATTCGGTAGTTTTGCAGTTGAAGGTTTGGGTGCGGTCGTTTTCTTGGTGCATTGCAAGCCTATATACACTTAGTACTCATCGGAGCGTAGAGACCAAGATTACACACACCATGGAGTCTTCTTCATATGATTCGAAGCGTATCTGGCAAAAAAAGAACTGCGTTTGCCAATTGCCTCGGGGCTGTAACCCTGAGGAACTTTGGGATGATTCAATACCGCAGACCACCATTTAGAACTCGCCCAGGTGCGGTAGTTGGTCGTGTCCTGTAAAAAGTCCCGTAGAGCGTGTTTCTCTTCGATCGCGCTTTTGTCGGGGAAATTTACAAACCAGACGGACGGCTCAACCTTAGATTCCTCGGCCAACAGCTTCTTGCCGTCTGGGACATCAGTGGCATCAAAGCTGGCAAAGGCAATCTCCGGCTCGTCTTCGAGAGGGACTGGAATGCTACTCAAAGTACCCAGGCTGATAGTCTCGGTCATGTTGAAACTTTAAGAAGAAGAATGTCGAATGGCTATGATGAAACTATCAGATTGGGTTGAGGGCGCGGACCGGCCCTTTTATGTCTTCCATAACTGACTGAGTTTACATCAAATTTTTGCTCAGGCCCAGATGCGCCCTAGAAAGGTAGATCATTCAGCGGAAGTCTCAGCTGGCTCCTGTAGAGATCTCCCTTGATGACGTGTACATTACAATTGAAGTAGATACAATAAACGCTGAGGGGTCAGAACTATGTGGGGGCATATTATATCGGGCCCATATTCCCAGTGCAGTGCCAACTTCACTTGTTTATGAGGGGTCCACTTGTTTGTGATACCAAACCACATGCATGCCACTAGCGCACGTTAGAGTTTGAATACGAAGAAGTGGGATGTATGTAAAGCAGAATCCGTCCTAGCTATGAAAGTTAAATGCATGACTTCAGCCATCCATGATTTCACCATGACCCACAGTTGACCTGGCAAGAAAGGTCTGGTGGGTTGCAGTTTATTCAAATACCTAGAAATAAATTCAAACCTGGAAAGATTCACTTCGTTTTCCTCGGATTTTCCAGTGCAGGGTTCCTATATGAATGTTTCCTCCCCCGATTTTCAAATCCAAACAATGGAAAATAGGCCGCTTAATACCATGGGTGTGGAGGATGCCATTAGATTGTCCATAAAAGATGACGACCCCCAGACTGTCTTCTGTCTCAATCCCATTTCCACCGGTTGCTCACATGATGTGAATGACATTTGGACTACGCAGTATAGCTGGGCAACAAAGATTGAACATACGGTTCAATCGAAATTAGGAAAGATAAATGCAAAGGAGCGACATACCTTGCAGGCGAGCTGGGACAGGGCATCTTATCGCGCGAAGCTTGTTGACTTTCTTACAAGAACCACACCATGGTACGCAAGGGTTGCATATAATTATTCAACTTGGCTTACTAACGAGTAGCTCCCCAGGTTTACCGTGAATGCCAGCCACCAAGCTGATCCTGAAAGTAGAGAACTCACTGGAGACTACTACCATAGCAAACAAATCTATCGCGAGGCTATCGGTGGTTATCTCTATGCAAAGATTCCAGAGGTCCCAGCAGATAGACTGCAGGCAATTGAGAAATATATGGTAGAGATGCTTGCTCTCGGCCAGGGAAAACTAGACGACGTACAGCGGTTCGCTGTGACCTTTCCTTTCGTGGATAAAGCTGATCCGCTTGTTCAGACCGGTATGAATGCCTAACTATTCTGAATTGCTACATTCAATGCTAAACAATCTTGTCAGGTCTCAGGACTATAACTCTAGGGTTCGAACGGAAGAAAGGAACAGACGTTGGAGAAAACAAGGACAGGAATGTTCGCCAAGAAGGCGGAGCGAAGCAGGAGAAGGCCGTACTCACTATTTACCGGTGTGTGTACGAGTCGAAGATTAATAAAAAACTTTTTGATAGCCAGGAGCTGAATCAAAAGGTGCTGGATCAGGGCAAGCCTGTTGTCCAAAGATGGATTCGTGATGTTCTCGTTTGACTTGGTTCATATATCTACAATCTATTCATACAATGTTGCCTAATTCTCACCAAATACTGTATTTCAAGGTTACCTTGAATTTCACAATCTCCTTTTGTAGAGAACCAAAACGCACTAAATTCTCCTGTTAAATTCACCATACTTGATGGTCTCCACTCAGAAACGCTGGATTTCACTCGATACATTCGAACAAACACTCAGCTCGATGATCTTGAACACTTTGGGATTCATTTGTGGGCCCATCATTCGCCCAATTTCTGGCTCAAGACGCTACCTTTGAATATGCTGCCACAGCCGCAGATTTTTAATGTACGTAAAACAGGTTTGCCTCACGGTATGATTACATATGGTCGCACAAACCTGACCGTGCGTAGCCTAGGGTGGCTGGCTGAAGAGGGTCTTTGACAACACACCATGCAGATATAGTAAAGATGTACAAGACAGTTAGCCCATAGGGCCGTAATGATTGCGTTGACTTTAAAAACTGGCAATGAGCGGGGCCTGGAATAGCTTTCTGGTATTCCATCCTTGAACCCCCAAAGAAGTCATTGCCGTGAGCATTCTTGTCTAAAGTACTATTAGATGCCCTTCCATCTATGCTACATATGATCAATATTCAGATCACTCTCTGATATGGACCCCAGCGTATCTCCTAGCCCCCACTTGGAAGCCAAGCCAGGTGGAATTGGCCAGGATGCTAGTCTCCCAATTTCCAATCCGCGCCAAATCGCCGCACAAGCAGATAATGTTTCAAGGCTGTTTCCACCAGTCTTGTTTATCAATTTCCCTGCAAGCCTTCCCCAAGGGCTACAAAAGAAGCTACAGGGAAATTTGCAAAGTTTGCTGGACTTTAGAAGCTGGTCCAGTCTGCGATGGTGGGATGGAGTATTCTGTCAGCTCCCACCAAGTGAAGATGAATGGGTACAGTTCAAGCAAAGTCTGCTGCTCGTCAAATATGCTTCGGAGGATATGAAAAAGACACTCTGGTAAGCCCTGACATCTACTCTATAGGCCAGACAATTCTGAACCCCAATTTAGGCTACATCAAATCAAAGACTCACACTCGCAGCGAGGTATCCATATGAACCCCTCTCGGAGTTATCTGACTTCCCAGGTCACCGATGCATTCAAAGATCTGGGTGAGCAAAGCATAGTGTCCTTAACGCCTCTAGTGGTAAATATGATTGAATCGTTTCAATACTCCCCCAGAGAATATGCTTCAAGGGTATTCATTGCAGAGAGACACGAGTATGTCAGTGAGTCGAACAGCATCAAGTCATGTAAGTATGGAATTACATCCTACATACTCGTATACACAGAAAGCTAATTCCCTAGCAATCTTCACAATCACTTGCATAGTCGGTGGCTCGCCGTACAAAGAACGAGAGGGCTTGGATGGGGGAATCCTCACCCTTCTTTACTATGACCATCTGTTCAGATTGGATGAATGGGACGAACATTCTGGCAAGATAAGTGATGAAGAGAAGGACGCAATGAGAAAGTTTTTGGATCAGAATACCGTCAATGTCTCTGTTTAGGGTCTAATTCGAAATCGCGTGAAGTCAATACCTGAAGTACCAATGAAGTGCATACTCATGATGGTAATTTCAGTTCTGTATCGCACGATGGAGTTTTGCAGTGCATTATTTTTGGATAACAGCAAAGAAGTAGTTATTAGAAAGCAGCCATGCCATTGTATAATCCTACTTTATAACACTCTGAAAGGTGATATTTTATAACACTCTGAAAGGTGATATGATGAGAGTAGCCAGGTATAGAAGATAGGATATCAAAGCAGCGAAAGGTAACAGATTATTAACTAGAAACCATCCAGGGTATGTAATGAAGTGATATGTGCAGCGAGGGCAGCCACCCAGACTGCGGGAAACTAATGACCGGAAGAACATATCCCGAAAACTTATTTCTACAGTAATAACCACTGTACCACTTTTACGTCTGGTACAGCTGTACCGACACTTTAAATTTTTTTTTTTTTCTTTGCATTTTTCGTGCGATACTGTAGCTAAAATTCATACTGTGGTACAGTTAGTCAAATCGGACTAGGCCCCTATGTTTGAAGATCTAATATATTATTCATATTAGGGTGGTCGTCACCAGTGCTAAAGCCCAGGAAACTATAGGGAGCCAGAAAGTTGTTCAGCTTGGCTAAGTGGCGGTGTACGTTACCGGAAGGATCATCGGAACTAGCTCGCTTCCTGTCCAGCTGAAGAGCTCTCTCTCGAAAATAGGCGACATAGTTCTGCAAGGTCCACTCCATGTTGCCCAGAAATTGATTACAACGGACTTCCCGCTACTGATGATTTGTGCAAATTCCTCGTACCTACAATATTGGAAATATTAGCTCTAAGCAATATGGTCTGAGGGGGAAAACTGTTTTTAACATCACGTACGAGTTGATGGCTGCAACAGGCATCTTGATCAACAGGTTCTTTTCAACGATTTCACAAATAGACTGTTGATATATTTAGAAAATAATAATGGAGTAGCAAGATAAGATGTTTGGGAACATGAGAAATAACTGGGCTTGACTATCCATTTAGCCGTGTCACGGGACGACCCCCCACCCTTCGGGTAGGGGGTGTCCCACAGCCATAATGCAATTAACCTCCATAATGCAAATTTCCTACCTTTTCAACTTTTACGCGTATTCCTACCCACCAAAAATGCCTAAAAAAACTCGTGATGAAGAGGATCTGCTAGCTAAGGCATTACATGCTTATACTACGCGAGAATTTTCATCACTACGTAAGGCTGCGGACCATTATCGCGTGTCTTATTCGAAGCTTCGCGGTCGCAAAAACGGACAGACATCTCTCTCCGATCGCCCTACCACCAATAATGCATTGAATTCGAATCAGGAAAATGCATTAATTAGTTGGATCGAAGTGCTAAATTCTTGCTATACACCTCCAACTGCAAAAGACATTTAAATTGCCGCAAATCGCCTGTTGAAAATAGCGGGTTCGGAGAGAGTTGTTAGTTCAATGTATATCTATCGGCTTATACGGCGTCTACCTCCACACATCAAGCTTATTACCCAAAAATCAAAGGAGTCTTTACGAATTCAAGCCGAGGATCCTGGAGTTATTAGCCATTGGTAGATAGGCTTGAGTATCTCTACCGTGAGCATGGTTTTGAACCTCATGAGATCTATAATTGGGATGAAACCGGCTTCCAAAATGGCGAAGGACTCAACCAACACGTCGTCTCTACACGTCAAACTGCTACTATTGCTACTGGAGATCGAGGTGAAACTATTACTGGCATTGAATGTATTGCCGCTGACGGCTGGGTGATGTTTCCGTGGTTTCTAGTCAAAGGTAGCGTCCACATGGAAGACTGGTATAGTAATATGTCAACCTCTTCTTCGGCGTACAAAATTATCCATTTGACGTCTAGTGGCTGGACGGATAGTGAGACTGCTTACCGATGGCTATGCTCATTTCATGAAGCCACAAAAAACCGTGTACGACGCGGGCGACCGAGGCTTTTGCTAATGGATAATCATGCGTCTCATACAACTATCGAATTTCTCGATTTTTGTAAGGAAAACCTGATTATTCCTTGGTATTTTGTACCTCACACGACTCATATATGTCAGCCCCTTGATGCTGAGGCTTTTTTAAGCCTAAAACATAAGTTTAAAATGGCGAATACTGAGGTTGTGGCGTGGGGTGGAAGCAACGAAAAACGCGACTTTTTCCGCAATATTGACGCCGTCCGACGCCACGCCTTAAGGTCCAAAACTATCCAAACCTCGTTCAAATCTACTGGTATCTGGCCACTAGATCCGACACAAGTTTTGGGTAATTTAGGGCAGTATTCGGACGAAGAGACCTTACGTATATACGACGAGCCGTCACCTACTCGCGAATTCCCAAGTTCAGCGACCAATTCTCCGCCCAATTCTCATGCGCTTATTGAAAAATTGGAGAAGACAGTTTTCCCGCTACTTGATAACCCGAATCCTGATTTACATAAAATTCGGAAGCATATACGGCGCGCAATTGATGCCGGAAAATCGTCTCTATACAATGCGGAACTTGCTGAGATGAGCCTTGCGCGCGTCCTTAGCCATAAAACGCCTGGGAAAAAACCTACAAAAAGCAAGCGATGGGTAAAGGGTGCTACAAAGAGTCCCCTTTCATCGATTTCAGGCAATAGGCTAGTACAGCGAAGGTGTGAGAAAGGAGGTGAGTCGAAGCTTCGTGCTTGGCGGAAAGACGCAGAGAAAATGGCGGCCGATTTGGCTGCTAAGGAATTGGAGGAAACACTTGAAAATGACGAGGATGATACATTATTGGCTAATAAGGCTATTGATAGGCTTTATTTCATGGATCCTGGACCTTATACGTCTAAAAAATTAGCTAGAAGTTGAAGAAATTGGAAATTTGCATTATGGCTGTTAATTGCATTATGGCTGTGGGACACCCCCTACCCGCGACGGTGGGGGGCGGCCCTGTGACACGCCTATATTATTTCGTCCAGCATTACCCCTCCATCTACCGTCCATTCAGCTGTACAGGCGGTATGTTACTAGGTTGACGAATTATAAGCAGGGCTCCGCTGCAGCCCACCATCATCTCTCAGCTGGAATCTTCGACGTTCCAATAGACGGCTATAGAGGGGATGATAGACGGGATGAATAAACCAATACAAAAGTCTCCAGTCATCCGTAACATTCCAGTGCCTACTTTAAACTCCGAATCAGCAAGGATGGACTGACAACCGCAAGGCAAACGAGGAATGGATGCTGAATTTGCGATATATGATCTAACTGAGCTCACATCCAAAATACAGTAGACACCCGCTAATGTCCCCTTTTCTCTTCTGCGAGGGTCGTATATGTCTGAGGCCCTTGTATACGCAAGGTAAATTTCTCATTGGTTTTGATGGATAGTGCTTCGTCATCAGGCCTTCAGCGACTCTTTCTGAAAAGGGACTTATTCTTTTATCGCAATTGGAGATGCCAGTTTATTGTCTTCATACTTCGTACAGTCGTACAGTAATACTCGAAAATCGGTCCTACCTACACACTCCACGCATTGAATCCTGAACCGTAGCTCGAACGCGCCATTCCCACTTTTGGAATGTTTGCAGTTCCCCTCTTCGTTCTGACCGAAATGACGTAATATGTCCGCCTGTCGGTTACTTTCCGAGGCCCCCTCAGCGTGACAGTTACATCCCCCACTAACATTTCTCTGCTCCTTGGAGATCTGTGCACAAAATCTGATGGCTACATTACCAGGTACGTCGCATGCTGTTGTACGGTGAACCTGTTTTGAGCCTAATATAAAACAACGGACGCTTGTGAGCAGCGTGAGCGGTCGAACCTGCCGCCAAGGTCATTCCCAAGAGGATATTGGCATTGCCTACCAATACGAAGCGCAACAATACCGCCATGCCTTTTCCGCATTGATTGACAAGATACGATGCAGCGACGAGACAGAACTTGAGGAGCTCCTTGGAGCAATCCGGAAGCCGGATAACCTCACTGAAGCCGTGCAAGAAACTTTACGTCGAAAGTACTGCTAATATGGGACTACCGAGCGCCATCGCGATCTGGCCCCGTCAACTCAACCTGCAAATTACACATCATATCTTTTGGAAATGCTCTAAGTGAAGATGTCTACTTTCGTGGTATATCTCTTGTATATATATCTCATGTATATATTATTCGTCAAAACTTTTAAGGGCCGCTAGCTACACCAAAATAATTGTTTCACATCACCTCAACGATCGGTATCACCCTCTTCACGTTCTCCACCCAGTCACGGATATTTTCTACGAAACTTCGGGCAATTCCGGGCTTGATCCCCTTGTCGACGAAGAAATTTGGGTTTTGATCCTTGAAGATGTGCTCAAGTTCGAAGCCATCTGAAAGCGTTATATCGCACGATTGTCGGAATCCAGCCTTGAGAATATCATCGGATACATTCGATGCGAGCCACTCACCGTATTCTTTGACAGCTACGTCTTTGAACCCAGGAATATTCAAAAGAGTCACAGCTCTCAGCCCTTCCGAGGCATCATCCGGGGTCATCGGGGCCAATCCAGTAGAGTGGGATGGGTGAACATTGATGTTGATAGGTTGATACGGCCCTCCATCCCTAAGAATGTTACCGCCTTTACGCTTTTCCTTCTCCTGTCTCTGCTGTTCCTCCATATAGAGCTCATCCCGGATCTCATCCGGAACGTCTTTATGCGTCTCTAAGGTACCACCTTTCTCGACATAGTAACCAAACGCCTAAGAGTTTGCGTGCGGAGTCGGTAATGCCTCTTCCCCATTGGATCCAGCCAACAGTAGGGACCCAAATGGCATGCAGCCGAACCACATTTCATCAAGTCATAAACACGGCGCCAAATTGATTGTTGGCTGCACGCATTTTCTTCAGCATCAAGCTGGGCATCCCGATCATCAAGCATTCTTTTGGTGACGGAAGATTTACCTCTCTTCTCCCCTTTCCGTTCAGCAGATGGAGAAGTGCAATCCTCTACGTAGTTGAAACAGACCCTCAGCGTGAGTCTCTTTCCACGACAGAAATGACTCGACCACATCCGCAACTGTTTCTCGATAGGAGCCCAGACAATTTCGGTCTTGTTGAAGCGCTTGGTCAAATCACGCTGGGAACGATCATTGACTGCCACGACAATCGCTGTGTCATCGATCCTAACCCTCTTGTTGCGGTTGACCTTCTCTCCAAGGACAGTTTGTAGCTTTTTTTCCAGGAATAACCGCCAGTAGGCGCTCGGGGCCAATACCAGGTCTTCTTCCGTATCCTTTACCACGGCCTTGTTATTGAGGGTGACACGCCATTCTATGAAGTAGTGGATACAGCTCGGCGGATCCTCGTCGTAGATCTTATCCGCATCCCACTCAGATTCCTGGAGCAGAGGTAAATTATTCGGTTGAGATCGGCGTGCGACGTTGGGCTCTTCTTCGAGCGAGATCGAAGGAGAGGGACTACAGTCGGGCTGCGTAGCATAAGGGCTCCGAAAGTTTCCTGGTGTAGGGGCATATTGTGAATCATATTCCCATAGTTCAAGATCTGGGGGTTGAGACATGTAATCACATGTAATCATCGTGGTACGAGGTGCAGCTCATATCCACATACGAAGGCACTGGAGGTCTGTCTACTTAGGTGATAACAGTTGTGAGTAGACGCCCAGAATGAAAGCGACGAAAGGGAGAGCCAAAGCCATGAAAAGCACGAACGAGAACCATATTAGCCTACCAGGTTAGTCTTCTAGAGCAGTACACAGAAGTACAGCTTTCGTTATGATTAGATGAAGACGAAGATTACGGGGAGAGGAAGAAGGACGGTTGGGCGTGGATCAAGCCAAATTGCCAGATCTCCCCCACCCCTTCCAGATCCCCTCCCTAGAACTTTCCATGGGAAAATACGGTAATTTACCAGGATTCATCATACATTACAGCCCAGTACGTTATATACGACGATACTGCTGGACAGGGATTATTTTTGATGTAACCTCATATGGACTAGTGTCGTTTCGGGTACGGGCCGAGAAACAAAGCGTGAGTGTCCGGGGGTAAACTGTTTTCGAATTCTACTGTACAGTAGTTTTCGAATTTTGACCTCTCACTCTTCAGACTTGATTCCCGAATAATATTTTCCGAAATACGCTAATCCTCTTTAAGGTCACCGCTCTCTTAGGTGGGCAGAACTATGGTGGTAATGACTAACTTATACCACATCCCAGGAGTTGTTGTAAGGAACTGCAATGATACATCGAATCCCCTAGAACGGCTTGGTACACTACTACCTCAGTGCCCCTCCATGCTAGTCCCTGGCTTCCATCCTTCCGCAAAGACCTCTATCTTGAGAATTGCTGCAATATACGGAATAGCACACGGCACACCTCTTAGTACTCGGCAGACACCCTCCCCAACTACGTTAGGAACGCATTTGCCAACCTTAAGCTACCATAAAGAAGCCACTTTACCATATTCATCCCGTGATGGTAGCACTTGGCTCAGATACATTGCATCCAGATCTGGCTAGGGGAGACACCATAAAGGAAGTCTATTTCCGTGTCACCAGCAACACCCAGCACGACTACCGGGTGGAGGATGGCGGATATTTGACCGCGGACAAGCAGCTCTGGGTTCCAAGCTGGGCCAGCGTTTGGAAGAAAATCCTGCCCGATTATAAACATTATAAACAATCCTACAAAGAGGCTATCACTATAGATGGGGAATGGTATGCTCCAAAAGGCGTGGTTGCCACGACCCTAGGGGCATCTATACCATTTAATGCACTACCCCCTTGCCCAGTAGCTTCAAGAAGCATATGTCCTTGGAAGAACAACAAAGTCTTTCCGATCAACAGGCATCCTGGGAAAAGCAACCAAAGTTTTGCCGCTTTTTCCAGCCCTTTAAGGAGGTTCAGACGGTTTCATACCATACGGGCCAGGACGATTGGACCTTTTGCCCTGTTGATGACACCTACTCCCTTTGACGCAGGTCCCCAGTCACTAGGACAGATTCAGGTTCTGGCCATCGTCCGCAATTCTGGAGCAGCTGAGCTATAAAGCCTTCAAATCCCTATAACCACGAGGACACGCGAGAGAACATCCCATCCTATGCATACGCGTGCAACATCTGGTATCTCTGATCGCGATGGAATTACGTTACTTGTAAAGGGGCCTTGCCAAATGGTGCCGAACCTGTCCGTTTGAATCTAATGCGTTTGTCACATCTCGGTTATCAATATATACTAGGTGGTACGATATAAAGCCGATAGATTATGCAAGAACTGTAATAGCCTCGTAAATCAGTATTTTGCTCCTAAACACTTTGCCGCGCAGTCTTTTTAGACCAACTCTTGGCTATAAGGGCTCTTCTAATGTTGGAGGTTGTAGCCATGGCCTGAGACTTATCCCATAGGAATAAAAACATCTCTTCGAGGCAGAGCCCCGGTTACTTAGATACTTGACTACGGAGGGCTTCAATCATAAGGGGCGTCACAGTTCTTTTCCGACCTACTGGGTTTGAGGTGCATCAATGCTTCTAAATTATTGCAAGTTGTTGCGGATACTGATGATGGCCTGTTTACTGCATTCAGCCTCTTCAACAATTCCAGATGTGGGGAAGGATTTGCTCTCTATTATTTAACGTATGAGAACAAGCTTTGAAGGTGAGAGTCTTGGAGCGATGTCATTTGAACTAATAACGGGTTCGCGGGAAGCCTCTGTACAGGAGATTGCTGATTGTTACGAAAGGAAGAGAGAGGAGAGGGGTGCGGAGGCAGCGTGGGTATGATAGTTTGGTGTAAACACATGTCCATGGTACCAAGACGTATTGTAAGATACATAGACTATTGTAGAAAGCGGTCAAGATTCAACTGCTTGAAATAACATCCAACCAGGAGTCGCGTAGTTAGGATTAATTTTCCGGAAATTAAACTTAAAAAGTGAGAGGTCAAACTGAATTCGAAAACTACTGTACCTTAATTGTCAACAGGCTGTCCTTTTCCGTTGCAGCTACCATACGCCAGACTTTCGGTCGAAGCTTGCAAAGCTATCGGCAGCCTATCGCCAAGTACTGCTTTATGATAAGCTCCAAAAGTAACGCACATGTTGCTCAAAGCAGAAACAGGGCTGTTAGCAATAGATCTGCTTCCATGAATAAGAAAACAGTTGACAGCAGTAGGCTCCAGTTGGGAAATAGTACTGCGACTGCTTAAGTTATATTATAGCGCAGAGACTGTCCAAACCTCTAGTCATCTCTCAAAGAAGGATTGCTAGAGGCGATCGAATAAGATCTATAGGGTCTCTAGGCTTACGCGTAGTTATCTGCATGCCGGCGTTCAAGGCTGCTCATCATTCAATTCTAGGCTAGGCTGTCTTCTTTCGAATGCTGGCAGCTCCGCAAGACTGTCATGGCTGCAATTATCCCTTCTGTCGCCCGTCCAAGCTCAGTCTCAAGCTGATTGACTGAAGAGCTAGCTTCCTGTAGTTCTTTTTCAAGAGTGCAGGTTTTTTCTTGCCACTCACCATCTTTTCGGAGCAGCTGCGTCGAGTAGGCTCGAGCCCTTTCAAGCTCGGCGGCGAGGACATGTTTATCGTGTTCCAGCTGCTGGATCATGTCTGTGAAGGATGTGGAACTGGCTTCGGAAAATTTGGGCTGGTCGTGTCAATTTTGTTTCTTAACCCTGACAATAGTAAAAGGGACTGCAAATACTCACATCATCACTTAACGTTGTCATATGGTCTGCGGGTTTTGATTGCTGTCTCTGCGGGGTCACCGCTTCGAATGATGAACCAATTTGCTTCATTATGTCTTCGTATCGGCCCACCGTACCGTTACCGAGGTTCTTGTCCAGCAGGTATTCCTTACCCTGCAACACGGACCACGCGTATCCATCTTCAGCGGATGGCTGTAAGCGCACGTTGTGTGGAGGCACTAACAAGCCCAGCCGTTCATCTGAGAGGCTCGGTCAGTTATCCGTAGTATGTGCGACGCTTGTAGGATGTTTTCAATGGGCTCTTACAAATATGGGCTGCTAAGGCCGCGCGGCATTGCTGCCGCGCCAGGGCGCGCCTCTGGTTGCTCGTCAGGCTCATTCTGTCAATAGCGTGTCTTTTGACATGATGACCAGAATTATTTTGCCATATGTAGGTTTTTCGCAGTGCAAAGGCACAGAGTAATTGGCTTGATGCGGTTGATTGGAATAGTCACTTGTTACAGTCCGAGTTCATCAGACCCATCCGTTTCCCGTCTGGCTTTGCCGAATTAATTCGTCGTTTCATTCTACTTGAATTCGCAAAAATAGCTCGTCACCCGCAACAAGGTGCGCCCTTCTAGTCATTATCCGATTGAGGGCTTAAGGGCTGTTAGCAACCCATGCAGTATTAGTCTACTGAAATAATAGGCCTGGAAACTGGCACCAGCCATTCTCCTGTCCGTTCTGATAGCTTGCCTTGTTGGATTATGCGTAGTTACGTCCGGCACGTGTGGAAACCCGGGCAGATGCTTTTTGTTCTATTGCTGGATCCACAGTGAATCTGATTAGAAAGTTGAGGTTATTCGAAGTCATTCTGGATGTCCTCCACAACCTGCTGGTACCTGTTCGTCGATCGCGTGTATTTCTAATGGAGTATGATATATATATCCTAATCGTCCATTCTTTCATGATAGTGTCACATCGAAGGTGCGGGTGTTTTCCATCCGAAATCAGAAGCACTGTACGAGCAAACGCATGTAGCGTCGTCCCTCCGCCGGGATAAATAACCCTGAATGCTCCGCTCTATTGCATTTATACACCTCTTCCTAGTCATTCACTCGCAAATGGCCCGACTTTCCAATAGACGAAGGCGCCAGCCGAAACAACCCCCAGACAGCTCTCGCCTTTTAGACTGTTCATCATACATCCTACCTGTGCAAAACAGAAAGAGGGAACGTATGAAAATACATCCGCGTCGTTCTCAGCGATCTTCAAGGAAGAGCTGGCCATTACAACTGGGTGCAGAAAGTCAGACCCCGTTGCGATTGACGCATCGGAGATACCAACACTGTCAGAGCCGTCGCCATGCAGGGAGGGATTCGAGCGCACCTTCGTCGGACACCGATCCCAGCCGTGGCATTGGCCAAGAAGATGGCATTTTAAGTAAAGGCAAGGATCGAAAATACTGGCTTCGACATCTCCGCCCTCGGTCTTTCCGTGACCTGGATCCTGCGGGGGCGAAAAACTGCTAGCGAAAACAAGCCTAACAGGGAGTGCGGGGTATCACTGAACCCACGAGGACCGGAGTTGTAACTGACACTTGAATAATTCTCCGTCATTGTACGTAGAAGTTGGGTTAATTGCGATTTGGTTCATTATGCATAGTTGATTGATAATATTAATTGACGAAGCACACATTCATATAAGTTAACAGCGAATGGGGGCGCACATTGAGATTTCAGCATTGCTTAGACTGAAGGGTAGTGTAGAAACTCCAATACATGCCGTGTTCCCTTTTTTGCCTCCACCCAAATTAGGCGGGTTTTGTGCGTGATATTATCTCAAGGATGCTTAATTTGTTCTTCTTCCCCCTCATACTCGCCTCTGTCAATATTAGTTCCATACATATCGTGCTTATTACCCGCAGCATGCCTAGGATATGTCGTCAAGGTAAACCATGAACTTAGGGAAGGTTTCCTTTATTGATTGTTCATAAAAGGCAACGCCGATGACCCACTCGACGGTTAAAGTCGAGCTTCGTCGTTTACGAGAGCCAGCAGTAGACTTCTATGCTAACCTATACGCACTGCTCTTTTCTCGGTGCCGTATGGAGAAGGGAAATAGGTGTGGCTTTTCGCGCGTTCGACTTATCGTATTCTTACATGTCTCCGTGCAGGCTCATTGTTGTGACCACAGGGAGGGAACGTGAGTGCAAAATTTGTGGCTGGGTTATTTTTAGAGCCATTGAAGGGGCCATTGTCTGATGTCAAATTACAGTATAGCTCTATGGCAACCACTGGGTCACTGGCCCGCCTAGATTACGTGTTCCCTTTCGACAAATGTATTCCCATCATGTCTCTCGTGCGCTTGGTCGTAAGAGACATAGAAGGTCACTACGATATCCACGCGCAGAGCCAAGAAACAGTCAAAGTGATGATTTGGATTATTTTTCAAGGGTAAGACTGTTTGTAGGGCCGAGCCAGGCAGCATTTGGATTGAACTCAATTACAACCTTCCACGAAAGGCTTCTTATTCGGTGAATAGAAGGGATGGATGGAACTCAGAAGTGTTCGAAAGATGTGGCGGACGGGGCCATGCAAAGAAAGAGACGAATAAATTGCTGTATTAGGAGCATATTTTACAAATTGGTTATCAACTACTTTCTTCTGGGTAAAATACCTACCAACTCTTGTGTTCGTAATGACTTCATGAATGTGCTCCCGTTTACAGCCCTGGGAACATACATCTTGGACCTAGGGGCTGCCTTGACCGCAAAGGCTTTAGTACCGTTGCTGGGGCATATAAACCGTTCATAGGCGCCATGTAGGTCCCCCCGAAAGCCAGAAGGAGCTTCTGGGGTGTTCTATCTCCACCACGGAAACGAAAAGCCAAGTTCCTGTTAAGCTCACATGAATTCTGGGAACTTAAAGTGCGGTTCCTAGTATCCCAGCGTAGTCTTCTGCGAATAACCAAATGTCTCGGATTTGGCAGGCGTCCACTGTTGTGTAATAATTTTATCCAAGTTTGGGAGGCAAAAGATTGACTCTAGGGCCCAGAACTAGGGTCCTAGGAGCGCAACGGCTCTCAGATCCAGCCGATTTGATTCCAAGGCTATTTTATATTGACTGGGCAACTCAACAACTGAAAACGGAGGCGGTATAACGTAAGGCAGGTTCTTGCTGTGCGAAGGTTGGTCAATCTCTTAGCCATACAAAAAGGGGTCACAATCCCCAAACCAGACCAAACTCTTAACCAACTTGTATATCCAATTTTCAGTCCCTTTGCAGTACCATATATATCTTTCCGGCCTTCAAGCTGTGGAGCAGAAGCTGTCTATCCAACATTTCACGGAAGATCTCCAATCCGAAAAATTCACCGGGTAAGGTATTTTTTCTGTGGATTGTGGTGGGTGGCCTCAGTCACTAACTACTCATCTTGAGCCAGTTACACACAAGATGCCCATTACCCCACCTCGAACAATGTAAGATGCCGAGCAACTGGCAGGCGTGGAGAGCCGATGCATTAGAGGCGATGACAGTTCCATCATCGATGTTTGCACCATCGATACCAGCTTGTGGAGCAAATGGAAGAAGGATACGCTGCGTCAAAATTGTTCCACTGCAATAGGATCTTCGACTCTCTTGTTCGACACTGCATGGGGAGCAACAATGATCGGACTTTCTTTTACTGAGGCTCACCTGGCCCTGAATCTTATTCGTTATCTTCAGTCCCGTGGCCTACAGCCAAATTATAGGCCGTTGCTTGCGTGAAAATTCTGTTTACCACCAGATGTGAACCTGGTGTAGTACGCTAAGCGAAGTCCAGTTCTCTTTTGAAGAATATGATTAGGCTATTATACGTGTATTTGAATCGAAATTCTTTTTTCCTAGCACACTAGACTTAGAGTGTCTTCTTTCCCTATATCAGTTATGCGTGATGTTAGTACCCAGGAACAAGTTTGCAGCATAATTCTCTAAAAATACCAAAAAGGAAACTGCGACTCATGTATTTAGGGTAGTTTGTTGCCATGACATTGATGAGTGATATACATCGCTCAACATACAGATTAGAAAGTTGGGCGAATCATAATGATCAGTATTAGTGAATAACAAAGTACGGTACTACCAACCACTTGGACCCCGAAAATGGCTTGTCCAGGACGTAGTCGTTTTCGGAAAATAGGTATATGTTAGGGTGCGTTAACACTTTTTCTAGGAGATTGGCTGGATAACTAATAGACACGCGAGACGGTTGAGTAGATCCTTCAAGGTTCATCCTTGATGGTCATTTCTCATACAATACACCTTGTGAAGCGGGCAAAGCTGCCATATTTGCATCATCCCATTCACACTACCGTCATTCTTCGTCCTTGAAAATGTTGGGTTGGGGGAGGGGGGGGGGGGGCACGACTTGACTGTCTGAGTATGTGGGCAAATGGCCGATTCTTATTAATCTTTCTAAGTTGTTATGGGATGTCCCTTTCGACAGAGGGCCCGCCGAACGAGTGCCGCTAAAATTCTGGCACATTTTATTTCATTAAAGTAACAGCATTTGAATTGCTCATGGAGTAGCTCATGCTCATGGAGCAGATAAAGCAGATAATTATCGTCCACAATTACGATCAATTGCGCAACTTATTATGGAAATATGAGATCGTTTGGGTCTCGCTTGTGGTGGAGAAGACGACCTGAATGAGTAAGACTGCCCTCTATATAGCTACAATAATTCCCACAATTGGGTTGACCATTACACACTGAGTAACTCTCCTTACCGCCAAGGATTAAGCGCAAGGTTTTATTGAGAAAGTCGCAACAAGATGAGGCGCGGAGTAATATGCCATTTGTGTTATGTCGCCACATAGTACGGTGGGTATTAAGGTTTACCCTTCAACGGATAAAGCAGATTTGATTACACCTGGCAGGATATCGGGCCAGAATGTAGCATTTTTCTGTTATCAATCATTTCTTAAGCGGCTTGCTCCATTTTATGCGTGCCAAAGCCCTACGGTGGAAAAACTAAGGGTTACTTAATATGTATTTGTCAAGTGGGTTTCGATACAGTAATGACTGCATATATAATGAGATATCTATGGCTCTTCTATAATCCAAGTTCAGCAGGATTCATACTCCCCACGAAAGCACCATGGACAGTCCCAATCATGAGCTGGATGTGCAGGCCAGGCCACCTCAAGAACTACTCTGCCCACCCCTTGAGCAGCAAGACCTCTTCTCCATTCGTGCTTCAGACCAAGCCGCGGAGCAATGGCTGGTAGGTAATGATATAAAGGAGCTGTGGATATATGCTCATTCATTCATAATAGTCGCCTGGAGGAATATTGCCGCACGACACCCGTTTTGAAACTCTCGACCCACACTTTCAACCGCTTGTCGAAGAACCTAGGCAATCAATTCAGTCCACTAGCGAACAGGCTGCAGGGGCGTTGAGGCTTTACTCAACGCTGTGTGAGACCTACAAAACAAAAATGGCTGAGAGCCGACGCCTTGAAGATGAGAACGAGGCGCTTCGCATCAACAATATTGAGTTGCTTGAACAGCAGAGAGCCCTAGAGTACCGCCACGCTGAACAGGAGGCTTTAATCACCTACTACGGGCAGATGTTTGATAAAGTACGAGGGGAAATGGCATGCGTCATAAGGGACTGGGAAGGCCCTCTTAATCAGGCTACTCCAGAGAAGGTTGATGTAATTGATGAAGACGCATCTTCGAACACCTGAATAGTGTGTGCTACTAGGTGGTAAGTTCCTGCGGAATCTTTTTTATGTTACAGAGAAGACCGAGTTAAACAAGAAGCAGGTCACCGAAAACACGATCCAGTTTTGATGTTATCAACAGCCCTACCATCGATTCTGGTACAGTATTTCAAATCATGGTAAAGAGTCAATGTCGCGGATTGCGCTGGGACACGAAAGCGTTCCTTGGCCGGCAATGGGTCGAACGTCAAGATGTAGCAGCGGTTCATCTCTGACACAGTGAGCTCCTTTGCTTTGAAAGACATGATGGAGTGACCAAATAGTTGAAATCAAAAGTTGTCCCTAGAAACCAATCAGCATGAATTCTTATTTTACGGTATATCTAGTCACCTCAAGTGATAACCGCCAACTGTGTAACAAGGCACCCGGCAACGCGATGCAAAGTAGCATCACGGCTACGGTACACATATGATTTGAAATGCCTTGCAGTATAGCTCGGCTCGAATACCCTGGGCTTGATCGGTGTGCTAACCAATAGTAGCCCGCTGTGATGCAAATGTAATCCACGATAGAGATAACTGCTATACCAAATCGAAGAGGTAAGGGAGAATGTAGGCTTAGGAAATTTAGTAGCAGTTTGGATAATCCGCTGGTTGCTACTATGATGCAGCAGAGATTCTGCAGCAAGCCTGAGAGTAGATCGAGTAGCCCGAATAGTCGAAGGAACTGTAGAAAGTCCGTCTTTAGTTACCGACTGTAGAAAGTGTTTCCAATAAGCCTACCTCAGCAAAGGGTGGAAATATCACAACGATTCCAATTAATATATGTTGAGCTATAATCGAACATGAACGTCAACGAGCTGCGGGCAAATCTTTCAAATTTAGTTGTGCAGACCATTTTCATTTTCCCAACGCCAACTTAGCACTACCAGCGCGAAAAGGAAGCAGAACGACAGAAGATAAACACCGAGGTCCAAAAATCTATATTTTCGCATAAGAGGAAATGTGCGGTACCACAGTGTCAGACGTAGGAAAATAATTGTAATGCTGATAGTGTCGAGAATGCAATGCGCAAGCCTCGGAATCTGCATCTTGGGCGGATGTCGTGTCAATATCTTGGAAACAGATCAGTACTGGATATCTGGAAACGAACGGAATTAAATAGTTAGGTATCTACCCATGTGATGCTTTTTCGTATCTTGCTCCTGGGAACCTAAGAATAATCTGCTTGGCTGCTACATGGTTGGACGATACTGGCGGATGATTGGGTGAATTATCAGTTTCATGTCTCTCGACCCTGACGTTGATAGACGGAGCTCTGTCAATCTTTCAGCCATAGAACCACAGGCTCACGTCAGGCGAAGTTGACAGTATTAGTTAGACGAAATATAGTCAGAATGGGCAATTATTCAAATTTCATGCTTTTACTCGTAATATCTACACCGACGGCAATAATCCTCCCCTGTTCCTCGTAGAAGTCCAGTGGAAAAATCTAATCAGGGTTCTTAACACATTATCCTATATAATAGCTCCGTGAACTGAGACAGATACCTGCAGCATTGTATCTACAGCAAAATGTTACCATTAGATTCGTATCTGATCATCGGTCAAGCACCTGATTCCTGAATTCTGGTCATTGCATATTTCTGAATGGGCTGTATAGCACCGTTGTCGAACATGATTTCTCGGCTCAACCTTTCTACCCGTCGCGGATGGGAATGAGGTCTGTGGTTCCCTAGGCATCATGTACAAGCCTCGACATTCAACACTGGGTCCGACATCGCACGCTTTTATAGGGCGATCATCCTCGGAGCGATTTCAAACTATGTCACACTTCTCAAGTCTGAATGAGCAGCCTATAGCGATACAATGAGGACCGTTTGGCTCAATGCGCATCCAATGACCGTTTTCTGACAGCCCGTTGCCTAACCCCCAACCAAAGTTTACCTGGCTTAGGCCACCTTAGGAGCGGTATGCCTTTGGAACTTGGTGGTGCCGAATATAAGATATCATTTGGTGTTTTCTAGTAGTGGCTATATGCTTGCTAGTCAGCTGAATATACGCCTGTGCAAATATCTTGAAAAAAGTAGCATCATGCTTTATACGAGGAAAACGCCTTAAGAATGTAATTTTTCGTGATGAACACGGCATGATTCGAGTCAAATATTTACTACGTAACATTAGGGCATATCATGAGGTCCCTCAATAACGTGTTGCTTACCAGTAAGCTCCGTCATTCCTTGACGGGATATATGTAGCGACTGTCCGCACAATAATGATTAGCGGGTTACCCCCCTTCCCCTGCCATTGAATGAAGTATACCACCGGGCCAATTAACGTACAAAATATGTTCTTAACCTGCTGAACATACCGTAAAAACCACCGGCACTTTTCCACAGAAAATACCAAACGATCCTGCTACAGCGAAATCGGAACCTCGGTTCAACGCCGCGGTATGCCCCCTTCAAAACGGAGACGAGGATCTTGCGCAGACGACGGTAGCGAGAAGCACTGCACGGAGCTTTATGTCAATTTCTCCCCGGGAGAAGCATCGTCAGTCAAACGTCAGGTAAATCGAACATGACTACAGAAACAAGGAGCCATGTCTAACCGAGAAAAAGACCCTCACTCTGACCAACATTAAACTCATTTTGACTGAATTGGGTCATTTGCAAGAGTCACGCCCCACATCGATACCCCAAGCCGTTCCCCTGGTTAGTCTCCTCGCCGAACTGTGGGATTCTTACCTCGCAGAATGTACCAAAATTCGGGATTTAGAAATGGAATGGCACATGCTTCAGAGTTCGAACAAGTTGATTAAGGCGGGAAATTTCGAACTAGAATCTACTTGTGTCGCTAAAGGTGGGATTGTCCGTGATATTCAGCAAAGTTTGCAGGCGGTCCGAGAAGGTGTCTTGGGTCTTTTCCAAAGCATGCGTGGATACCAAACCTTCCTCTCGTCGGGCAATTAATGAATTACAAAATGCCACATTAAGGTTATTATAGTCGACACGGGCCTCTATCTGTACTATACTGTATACGAAAATAATCTTCATGTTGAGTGGTCACAACCTCGGAATACTCGTCTTAAGCGCCCCCCGCCCTCCCCCGCGCCCGCGCCACCCAAAAACATAATGATAAATACTAAGCCGGATTAACAAAGCCCCGTACAATATTTTGCACGAAAAATCCCGGATCGAGCACGGAGGCAGCCAAAGCTGGATGATTGTTCAGTGGAGAAACCGCGCTTCTTGTAGGCATCATGAACCCTGATTCTTGTCGTGGGTATATATGCAGTTGAAAACGACATTTGACGGGGCCACGATCCTGTCGCGTGATAACATCCTGTATCTGCGCTTTCACCCGGTTTAAATTACCCAGCATGGTTTCGAAGCGAGGGACAAAAAAAAGAAACTGCTCAGCCACTTCGTTGACCTCATTGAGGCCACAAAGCCGGAATTCTAGCCAATGTACTTGTTCCAAGAGCAGGAATGCGGATACGTAGAGAAAAATGTCATCTCCAGATGTGCCATGGTGTAATGGATCAGGGCCTGGCCAAGTGAATCCGACTTCGCTCTCATAGCTAGGATAAAATATGGCCTCGACCAAATGTGGCGTTTGGGTTCCAGGGAGGCATTTGTCGTAGGATGTGGGAACTGAGAGCCCATAGCCGGCTGCTAGGAGAGGTGGTGGAGTAGGGGCGTCGGGAAACTCGCTCCAAAGAGTTGTCGGGTCGAGGTCAAAATGATGATCTATAAAGGACCAATGTGAGAAGGTAGAATAACTTGCAGGGTCACTCTTGTACCAACCAAGCTCAGAGCTCTCTTGCATATTTAAAGCCGTCATTACTGCAATCGCGAGACAATTGAAGTGGTTCGTGGTCTTTGAAGCCAAACAATGTTGTAACTCTCTTTGAAGTAGACAGAAACGCTGCTAGGGATATCCGAATGGGCTATTTTAAGTTCAAAACAAGTTGCTCGATAGAGCCCCGAATAGCAAAGCTAGTCTAGTTAGCATATTCCATCTTATCTGAATGTGAATTAATACATTATGATCTTTGAAAAGGCTGCTATAGCCATTATTACGGATAATCAATGTGGCAGAAGACTTCGACAAAAATGCCAAACATGGATTGTCACATGAGACACCACCAGAGCAATAACGAGAAGTGGAACGTCGAGTAATTTTGCTCCCCCATTTTGGTCAGGCTGTCGCCTTACATAAGATACGTTCAGGGACGATTCCCCCGTCAATTAATAATTTAAACTTGTCGAACTAAGAGCGCAACTTCCGCGATTTGAGTAATCGGCGTGTACTTGCCCTGCTGTGTATTTGTATGTGGGTCGGACCATAACAAGTTTTGCACTCTATCAATTGAGATATACTATCTGCACCAAGCCATATGTGTATAATGCCCTGCAGGCAAATCGGGCCTCACTGCCTGACAGATCCGCGAATGAAAATTACTTACTACATACTTATTCACTACTTGCAGCGTAAGGTAGCAGTTGGAGATATGAGGATCTCGCTGTCTCTACAACCAGAAGACCATCCCAGACGGGGCGACATGCTCTCCGAACGGCGACAATATACTTTCCCGTAGTGCTGCGAGACTAACGACATGGGACATCGAAAGTAACTTCCGCTTAGTCAGCTGGTATCGGCACTACTCCACCCGTGTCCCGGTCTTCTCGCCCAGGAGCCGAACGCCGCTTAGTCAGTGACAAATCACAACGGGCGCCTCATATGGATAAACAGCATACTATAGAACATGTATAAAGCTAGCTGCTCTCCTGTACATAGTTTACGTCCTGTCTTGTCACTGTCTACATCTCAGCTTCATCATATAAACCTTGCTTTTTGAGTACCTCTTTCTTGATCGATATGACAACCTCTACTCCCATCAAAGGTGCAGAGGACCTTCCGTCTAGGTGGTCCCCTACCGAGGATCTTGGTGGGATATGACATGCCAATCCGCCTTGAGGGTGAAATCGGCGATGTTATGGTGAGAGGCACTATCCCAGACTCTATCGATGGAACCTTCTACCGTGTTGCGTCGGACCACTTCACGCCTATTCCTTCCGGACATATGCCTCTCGGCGGCCATGGGGTCGTGAGCGCCTTCCGCATCCACAAGGACCAGGTAGATTTCAAGATTCGATATGTCCACAATGGCCGATATAAGGTGGAGAGAAATAGGAAGGAGAGTCTCTGGACCGACCTTTATGAACACCCACTCAGCCAGCACCCATGCGCTCGGGCTGTCCTGGGCACGACCAGCAACACCAACGTCATCTACTGGGCTGGGAGGCTCCTTGCACTTCAGGAGATGGATCCCCCCTACGCCATGGACCCTGACACTCTGGAGACTATCGGCATGGATCCGTTCGGTAATCAAATACTGAGCCCAATCCTCACGGCGCACCCAAAAATCGATCCTCATGTCGATGAGCTGGTCACCTGGGGTATCGACCACGGCACGAATGATATTATATCGTATTCTATTGACCGTCAAGGTATCGTCAAGAACGAGCACCGTATTAAACGTGTCCTGCCTGGGATTATCCACGACATTGCTCTGACGGAGAACTGGATCGTCTTCTGCCAGTGGCCTACCTCTTTCAACCCAAAGCCTGGTGAGGTCCCCATTATGTGGGACATTAGCCGGCCTGCCATCTTTGAGGTGGCTCCTAGATGTCCCGAAACACCTTTGGAAGGGTCAGGGCGGAAGCCTTACGAGCACCGCGTGTATACGCACTACGCCAACTCGGAAATTGTGCACACCGCTGGTGCATGGGAGGAGGGCGGCAAAATCTTCTTCGAAGGCACATGGCCTCACGACAATCTCTTCCCATTCTGGCCCAGGAATGACGGCAAGAAACCATCCGGAAATACTGTTGTGGACCTAGTACGGCTTGAGATTGATATTAGCCAGCCGAGCAACACCGAAATCCCAGACCAAGTCACCTTGGTGGACATCCCCAACGAGTTCCCCAGGATCGACGAGCGTTTCTACTGCCGGAAGTACGACCACATATTTATGAACGTCTACTATTCAGAAACCGAGAAGCATCTCATGGACAAGCACATTTTCGAAGGACTGAACGCCACCGCAATGCTGATAAAGAGCACCGGCGAGTTAAAGGTCTATTATCCTGGTCCCCACTGTCGCTGTCAAGAACCAGTCTTTATCCCTCGCTCCGATGACGCCTCCGAGGGAGATGGCCATGTTATCTTCGCGGTTCACCGCCTTGATATCAATCTCACCAACCTTGTGATTGTTGACACGAAGGACTTTGAGCGTCCAGTGGCCGTCATCGAGTTGCCGCTGCGCATGCGAGCTCAGATTCATGGGAACTGGGTTGATGCCAGAGAGCTTAACGGCCGACCTCTGGTTGTGCCCCCTCCTCTCCACCATATGACTTGGAGGCACAGACCTGGACCAAATGCCACCGCTACGAAGCCTGGCGGCGTATAGTCTGAAGCTTGAGAGTTGAAGTTTTAATTTATGCGGTTCTAAGCAGAAACCAGAGAGGCTAGCAATCTTTACTGCTATTTATTGCAAATACAAGTTAATGATCCTTTTACCAGTATTCCACCCTTTAATAGCCGAGTTGTGAAGACATATTAAGCTTTGGCTCAGACAGAACTCGATGTGGAGGCTGATTTGTGGGACTGAGCCGCTGAGCAAACTATTGTCACTGGTGCTAATGCCGCTGCTATTCATGGCGAGCCTGGAGTAAACAAGCGTATACAGGATAAAGCTGGGAGAGCGCATATTCATTTTTCGGATCGGCATCAACTGCTAACTCGACCTAGACTAAGACGAGATAAGTTAAGAGAACCGTAGTAGGGGATCTGCAAAGCTAGGAACAGGAAGGTGGAGAAGATAAGTTGTTTTTTTAGTTGAGCTGTGAGGCCGCTTGTAAGGGACTTTCCTTTTGGGGTATTAGTTTAACTTCCCTGTTGAGCTTGGAATGACATTCAGCGGACAGCATACACGCCTGTGACCGGCAATACAGCCCACTCCGCAAAGTACCTCGCATCAGACTCCACAACCTGGACTCTTTGGACCCCAACCATCCTTGTTGGCTTATGTCAGTTACGGCTACGTTAAAGTTATCCGCCAAGGATCAGGGAATCTAGATAAGCTGCTCATCACAGTGTACTTCATCTGTCGTGATTGTCCGTGGTCGTAAGGTACAGCATCAGTAAGCCCTAGGTGAACAACTACGTCTCAGGCAACGACATGGAGCCTGGGTGGTAAGTTAGTTAGCTGGGTTAACGTTAGGCATAATCTCGATTAGTCACATACTGATAAAATGTAATTGGCTGCAAGTGATGAACGAGGACTTCGAGCGAGGTACCACGTGACAGAATAGCAACGTCATAGACCTTGTCGGGGAATTCATAAGTAACGCAGGCAAGGCAGAAATTCCATCGAGTACTTGGAAAGTTCCTTCTGAGAATACGAGACTACCTCTCAGAATGCAATCAGGGCGCAAGGAACCATATCTCGAAGTAGGGCCTTTCAACACCCAACCCTGAAGCAAGGGTGCTAATAATATTCCCTCAGCCATTGTCTGAAAGTGAGAAACGTCACTTGAGCAAGTACGGAAAGCGGCCGCGTGGAGGCTTACTCGGTCAAAAAACCAAGGTACTTAAAATGTGATTCATTGTGAGCGTGCTGACAATCGGAAGGAACGGACGTACTTTGACTCCGGCGACTTTGCTCTTTCCGCCGCTCATCGAGTGACCGATCTCGGCGCTATTCAAACAGGCAGAGCGCATCCCCATCGTGAAAATATTTCGCGCCCTTCCCCTGTCCCAGCTGCCAGTAACCTTGACAAGAAAGTCAACGAGAATTTCCATAGGAGGGATGCAAGTCCCCAAAAGAGTCCTCTCCATCGGCAAACTAATGAAGACCCCACAGACGAGGACAATCTCTTCTCTTTCGAAGATTGAAACCAAATCGTCGCAGCTATATATATCGAACTGTATTTCATGTATTTCAGCACTACAGCCAAACAGGGGCAATACGACAATTCCTTTATTGTGAGGTGAAAGCGTATTGCGGAGAATGGAGAACCGGTCGACCAGTGATGTAACCCCCGGAGCTGTAGGTCCTCTGGAAATTCTCCATACGTGTCCATGACAGTTGTGCTACGGTATAGGCTGCGTCGATCAAGATATTGCAAGCCTCTTGATTGGAGGGTGTTTCGCAAGGTCGTGTTATGCTACTCCAAGGTAGAGAAAGGAGTGTGAGAGAACCAATCACACATTTTATTGCCACCCCCAACAAACTAGCTCATGCATGCTCACCCATTGAATCCATTGCTGTGAAGCGCATTCTTTTCTGGGGCACGACGTGAGATATGGCTTTCGCATGCTGGTGCTACCGACTGGTACGTTTCAGTCACGAAGTTTGAAGCATTCGATTGTGTCCTTGCTTGACTCCCTTCTTGCACCGTCTACGCTTGCTCGGCCCCCTATGGCAGGACTGCCTAGTCGTTCCCGTGCGTGTGTCCCTGTCGTCTTTTACAGTACAGCATGGAACGAAATCTCTCGGAGATTCTTTCGCGAAACCTAGTCCGAAACACGCTAATCACGTGATATAATGTTCTATAGATTACAGAATAAACTAGCGAAAAATTATCCCACAAGTTTTGATTTAGCCATAATTTTAGTATCCTGAGAAGCCTACATGTATTATTCATATGGAGATTCCAGCAAGCCACTCTCGGGGCAATTGGAAAGGAAATTGGGACCATTTACTTCAATGGAGTCCCAGAGGGAAGGCTCCGCAACATCGGCCACAACGAAATTGCGGGCGCCTGCCTCCTCACAAAAATGTCCTTGACAATTCCTGCTGGTATGCACTTGGTTGCCCCATTTACGGTGAACCAAAAACTGTTGATTATGGTACCGATCTTGCAAAGAAAAATCGCCAAAGGCGAGAATTTGCAACGCAGGTAAGCCCTTCGGGCCGAATGCCCAGTCAGCAAAATCCACAAACTCCTCGGATTCAGAAATAGTAGTAACTGGACTGTTTTGTAGGCCAGACTCGTATGATTCGTCTTCTTCAGAGGATTCAAAGGCATGTACTTCCATCACATTTGAAAGGTCTCTCCCACTTGTGCCACATGATCGATACCGGAAACGCTCTTCTGGATCAAAATATTGTGGACAACATTTCTTGCCCCTGGTTAGGATTTTTAGGATTTCGTCACGACTATTCCGGTGCGTTCTTTCGGATCCGCTAAATCTGAAATGTAGAATCTGCAGGTTTGAAGCCCTCGCTATGGGCTCGAGTCGGGATCGCTGTCCCGGTTAGCAAAAACTCCAAAAATTGAATGTGACCACCCACTATAGTAGAAGGCCCCACGCTAAATGCTAAAGCAGTCGCATGACACAAGTTTGCCGACCAAATGCTATGAGATAGCCAAACTGGTGCTTTATCCCTGACATCTTCGAATAATCCTTCATCATCGATGGAAACAAGGCCGCGCTCGTGGTAAGCGAGGCTCTTCAATGACGAAAAATGTTTTTCAATTGCCTTCTGTATCTGGGAGGTATTGCAAAAATTTGATAACTTTAGATGAAGATGTTTCAAACCCTCAAGTGAAAGCAAGAAATCCACCAATGGGCTCACGTCACGATCTTCTCCATGGCCCTGAAGGCTGTCATAGCAAAATTCAAGATGCTGAAGTTGCATGGCACCACGCGTGCGAGAAATTGAGTTCATGAATGTAATCTGGTTGGTACAGTTACGTAATATGAGCGATTTGAGGGAACCAAAAATGCATGCGTCCTTGGGTCGAACGTTTCTCGGTAGGGCAGCCTTAGATAACGTCAATGAGGCTAGGCATGGGAATGAAAATGGAATCGACACCTTGCCAGTACCGTTGCACGGTTGGGCTTCATCTACAGGTTTCCCAAAAACGTCATGATAGATGTCTATAGTAGCCACTGGCGCAACGTATCCAATGGACACGACAGCTAGGTGCTTTCGATTTCGAAGAATGCACTTTCTCAAAGTATCGAACTCAGCTGGTCGACCAATTCCTTCCCATCCCAGGGACTTAAGGCTTGATAATGAACGAAGGCCACTCAAACAGCGCCCTGAATGTGGACAAGTCCCGTCGGTGACCAACGAGATATGGCTTAAGCCGTTCTGGTGTCTGTCAATGTAGCCATCCAGGTCCAGAAAGCCTGGAGGAATACATGTGCCTAGCCCCCACCTGATTGTGGTCATTAGCATGATTTTGATAAATGTAGATGAAGAACCAGGACTTGTAACATACTCGAGTGATCTGAGGTGATTGGATTTTAGATGGCATTGCACAAGTTGCAACTGATGTGAGATATCGTCCAAGAATTGTTCATGTGCCTTGGACTCGTTGGAAGTGCCCAGGGTATCGATCCCTATTAACTGCCCGGCAACACGAAAAACGTTGAAGTACGTACAACGGTTGAATCGAGCAAAGACAATGGGCGCAGAAATACTCAATTCTCTCGTGTACTGAAGATAGCAGGAGTCTTGGGAAACCTTGTGAAGGCGGAAAAAGGTACCAATGTTGATGACATTAAGTGCCCATTCACTTGCGGCACAAAAATTGATTGTATGATAGAGTAGTGGAATGAATACTGAATGAAGCCTGCGGGAGGCTTGGCTTAGAAAGCGAAGATCTCGAGGACTCAACTAACAGAGAATTAGCGACCAGGTAACGGGAAAAGGAGTGTCAATTTACCCAATTTGCAATGGTGGACAGGATCTCAGCTGGCAAAGCCTCTAGCATTATGTTGAATGCCCAAGTGTAAGTGTAAGTGTTGGGGGATCGCAACATGCAGAGATGATCCTATATAAGTATGGTGGATAAAAAACTTATGGCAAGGCCTATCGTATCAAACGACTAGGAATTGACGTTCGAGCGTGCGGACTTCGGTTCCAGCTCAATATTAAGTTAACAAACGCACTCATTGCCCAATAGTGACAAGAATTAATCAGTTGCCTGCTAGGAAGCCGTCAAATGAATAAAGGAATGTGCTACGTAAGTTTCAGTAGCTTGCCATTTCGACTCGGTAGCAAATTGGAAGGAATTCAAAATCTTCACTATCCTGATACTGCAGCATAGTCTGAGCATGACTATACTGTGAGTACACTCTCGTCACGTCAATCCCTATCCAAATTCTATAATTATTAATTACCAGTTTGGGGCAGAGGCAGATTGCAATTACTCATCTGTACCAATTGCTGGTATCTGTTTAAATTTCCCATTTCCTATTCACTCGTAATACAAAGAGACGACATGTATATATAAAAGTAATATAGCCGGGATAGCATCTGAAAAGACAGGTGGCCACCCTGTAGCTGTGACTAGCTTTTCCATTAACGCTTCGTACGTGGTCAAGTTCGTACGTGGTCAAGAAAATCCGCTGCAGTCAAGGAACTTTGACAATGCATTGGCTTTTAGGAACCAAACTGTGGATAATTGCGACGTGAGTGCCTCATACCTAGCCCCCGACACGCCATGATCCTCAATTAGCAGTGACAACTCCAGGTGTAGACCTAGCCGCTATATCTCTGCTTATGAACCCTACGAGAGAAGTGATAGCCACGACCAAGCAGCCAACAAGACCCTGCAGCCTGCCACTCCAACTCGAACCAAAGGAGTAGAACTTCTCAGATGTCAACGGTGCCTAGGAAGGCGGTCATCGTCTTACCACCAAGACCATCAGCGAGACCCTATTGAATCTCCCTCTGTCGGAATCTGCTCGCGTAGAAGAACAGGTTGTGCTAGAGCTAAATGGAGCCTCCATGGGTCATATGACCCAGGTGGAGGGATTTGCCAAGTCCATGAACTACCAGTGAATTGATGTGAGGCAAATGGTGCACATGGATAACTCCGTTTAAATGGAAACATGCATTTAAGACGCTACACTATTGACCTATAATGTAGATTTACAGCTTTTTAACTGTTGAGGAGAGGGGTTAGTGCCAGGCCCACTATCTAGAATGAAGCAAACCATATGAATCTATTAGGAAATGCTTCAACGAAGACAACCGTGTTTCCACTAGTAAGCTTACAGTTATATGACTAATCATTTCCAGGTTGATATCCGATTTGGGCACAGGCTATTTACCAAGTCCTGTCCGCCGCATACAAAGAATTTTTCGTTACCAGAGTGACAAATCTTTGTTTCCTTATCTAACCTACGTGAGAACGATGATCATGTAATTAGGCAGCTTTATAAATAGGCTAAAGAATAATGATTACTTTTTGTAATCATTCTCGCATTCACTAGCTGACGCATGTTTTCCTATCTGAGCCCGACTGGCTAAAACAATCGTTGAAGATTCTATGCCTACTGAACAAGTTCCTTCAGCATCAAAGTGTTGTACCAATGTATCTTGAATCAATCAATTACATTAGCTTTCGATATTCACCGTGATCGTGATGAGGGAGGAGATGGTAGGGTTCGTGCCCTTTCCGGCTGGCTCTTTCCTCAACTTGGATTTGCCATCCTGTAACACGGCTGATTTTGATTCACAGTAAAGATATAGTGGAGCCGCTGTTTATGAATTATACTTTCTAAAACATATAGGGCTCGTACTTGGTATTTTACATCGGATGTTGTTGTATTTGAGACTCGAAGTAACTTTGGTATTGCTCTAGGATTGGTTTACAAGAACTTTCCAGGGTCTGTACTTATAGTCAAATTGTAGCCGCAAGAACAGACCAACGTTTAGCAGATTGACCATAGAATTACAAATCAACCAAAACTTGCAACACGACCATTGAATAAGTGACCGCGCTGTAAACAAGCACGAGATGCATCGCATAAAGACTGGGCCGCCAACCCGTGACCATTCGCGTCCGTTCCAATGGTTTGAGTAAGAAGAGAATACCAGCGAGAGCATTATAGATAGCGACCTTGACAAACTGAAGAACCAATGACGTGTA